ATTATAAAACGTCAGATTTATGGATTTCATGCATTGGCCGGAATCCTGTTATAAAGTTTGACTGATGTAAATGGGGGCCACTTTACCTCGTCTTTATCAATCAAACATGCGAGGGACTCGGGTCCAACGTAACAGTTTGCTCTCTCAGCTGACTCAAATGTTGATTCCTAGCGCAGTTTTCCCACATGAATGAACCCAAACTAATCTTATCTAAGCAACTGACGATCAGTCGACGGGTTGGAGTGGGAGGGGGGGGGGGGGGGGGGGGGCGCATTGTAAATGCGTGTTCTACTTGTAGATCATTCTCCGCTATGGCTTATGAAGTGTCACCTATCAGATACCCTGCTTCATTTTGGGTACCCAATCAGTGACCCCTTTACAGGCACCAATACACCAATGGCAACTTATAATATATTATATATATACATATACGTGTGTGTGTGTGTGTGTGTGTGTGTGTGTGTGTGTGTGTGTGTGTGTGAGTGTGTGTGTGTGTGTGTGTGTGTGTAGATGTATGTGGTTCGGTTCCTGGGCTGGATGACGCGAGTTGTTGCAGAGAAAAACTAATAATAATAACGAAGTCTAAAGAGACATGAACAGCCTCATAACAAGAACTAAGCAGCCCCAATGCAGTTTCCTTGAATTTTATATCACACCAATGGAGCACTCATAGTGTTAGTGAGCAAGACGAGAAGCGCTTTAGTCTCTTTTTCCAACTCATCTCTCTATTTCTCTCTCTCTCTCTCTCTCTCTTTTTCTCTTTCTCTCTCTCTTTTTCTCTTTCTCTCTCTCTTTTTCTCTTTCTCTCTCTCTTTTTCTCTTTCTCTCTCTCTCTCTCTATTTCTCTCTGTCTCCCTCTGTGTGTGTGTGTATGTGCGTGCGTGTCTTCTCGAGTATATTGAGCATATATTCAAACACAAAAGAGAAAGAGGAGAGATAAGGATTATACTCGTTTGATGGGAAAGGAGGAGCACACCTAACCAGAGCACCCGCCAACATCCCACAAAAGAGAGAGCGAGATAGAGAGAGGAACAGAGAAAGAGAGAGTGAAAGAGAGAGAGAGAGAGAGAGAGAGAGAGAGAGAGAGAGAGAGAGAGAGTGAAAGAGAGGGGGGGGGGGATTAGGTGTTATCTCGATATGTGTTACTGGACGATTTTACCTTTTTCCATAACATATTACTGATCAAGTTCGGGAACCGAATATAGCTGACGGTAGATATGTTCACCAGTTGTTAAATTCTTAACTTAGGTGGCGGTAAATTTGGGCCAAAACTTCGGAAAGTATCTGATTATAAATGTAAAGAGCTTTTGATTCAAGAAGCCAAAAGGGTCCCAAGATAAGCCAGGATTTGCCATGGTAGCTTGGCACAGGCGTTTGAGATGCTTCGGGGGCCGAAAATCTTGGACGTTGGACTCGACAGATTCGCTGCATTCAACGCGAGGTTCACTGTTTCTCTTTTTTTTGTTCACAATCTGTAATCCTCTCCATTCTAGTAATTATATATTTTTTTAATGCAGCTCGTTATAAAGCACTATTGTTGACTAGCAAAAGGTACTGTTTTTATTCCACAACATAATTATGTGTTCCTCACCGTGTCAACAACAAGGAAACGTCCAAAATGCAACATACAAACAGACCATTTACAAAAAGCTAGCTATTACCAAAAATATGATAGAACATGCTTGTCTGACAGTCCCATTCCTGCTGGACATCCTACTTTTATTCCCGCTGTCGAGACTTTAGACGCTCTTTCGTCCCAAAAGTTACAGCAAATGCGGAGGTACTGGATGAAATCATCTTTATGATACGGAATCGAACTCCCGTCTTCAGCTTGCAATGCAAAATGCTTTACTAATCAATACCAATTATGCACAAGTGATCGGACCTGAATCGGATTTTAAGTTAAAACTGTTGGCATTATCGGATAGGTTACCAGTCATCTACCTCAGCTAACAGAAGTGGGGCTTCTTGTTTGGTTTCAGTGATGCCACTGTCAAAAGTCAAAGCCGGTTACTTTTGAACGGAAGTTCAAGATGAAATAATTATATTTTAGGAAGAAAAAAATACACCTCACAACTTACACAAATTTTATCCTGAAAATCCCACCTGTTCAGAAATGCACTTCAGTGTTTATAAGTGTTTCTCCTATCGCTTTATTATTCTGAATAAAATACGATTAAGATTGCACTCTTTCAAGCTTTGAGGTAACTTTGCTCCCCTTTCCTTGCGCTATTCTCTTGAAATAAATGGTATTATCTCATCATTCCAAACTGTATTCTTATTTAATTTTACATAGTTCTATTCCAAACTGGGTGATCGGTATAGTGCAGTGGTAGAACCTGAAAAAGACGAACACTACATTGATCTGCCTGCGGTTGTAAAAAAGTAATAACAAAGCAAACTTTTTTTTTTGCGTTGCGTTTTTTTTGCGTTTTCTCTAAAACGCGATATTTTTAGGGGTATGGGGTTTTAGTGCAGCGAGATTTCGGAGGCTGTTTATAGGATTTCCTTGAAATTTGGCCTCAGTGTTGGCAATTGGCATAGTTGCAACCTGTTAGAGGCTTTTTTTCTTCTTCTTCTCGATCGCATCACACTTGAAGTCCGGTATCTGTCGTAAATTGGGCCATCCTGCTCAGTTCATCTGGCGGCCCGTATAGCTTCTCTTGTAGCGTCAGCGGGGTTGGCCACGTTTCCTGTCTCAGGGCCCTGTGTGTCTTGCAGTGCTGAAGGATGCGTTCAACAGTTTGGTCCGCCTCTCCACACTGGCATTTTGGTGATTGTACTAGTTTAAAACATTTGTACATATGTTGTCTCAGTCTTGTGTGTTGTGTCCTTAGTCTGAAGATAATCACTTGTTCTTGGCGGGACAGCTCAAGTTAGCCATCTGGTGTCTGAGGTGCTTTAAATAGTGTATTTATAATAGTTTTTATTTCTGTGTAGTTAACGCTGTTGTCTGGTTGCTCTTTTTGTGCTCCTAGTTTGGCCATCCTGTCTGCCTGCTCATTTCCCAAGACACCACAGTGTGATGGAATCCACTGCAGCATGATCCTCAGACATGGGATGTCCTCAATTTCTTTTCGTAGCCTTGGTAGTTTGCCGGAATTGATTGCCTGCAGTACTGACATGGCATCTGTTAGGAATACTACTTGGCTTTGGGGGTCTACCACATTCTTGATGATGTTTGCTGCATGTACTAGAGCCTCCGTCTCTTCGCTGTAGTTTGTACAATGTCGCCCTGTTGGGAATGCCTCCGCTTGTCGTCGTCCATTTGGGAACTGCACGTACACTCCGGCTCCTCCTCTTTTCACAGCATCAGTGGCAGATCCGTCTATATAGATCCTTATCCATGCTTATCGTGGGTATCTTTCTTCAAGCATGGACAGGGTGAGGGACTTCTTGCTCAGGTCACTGTGGTCATCTTTTGTGGTGAACATAGGAATGGACGTGTGTATAGTTATGTTTGTGTTTTTCTTTTCCCTTGATGGTGCCTCTGGGGTATGGTTCAGCATGTTAACTGTGGCTGGTAGATTGTCCTGTAGGGATCTTTGGAATTTTCTGCTTTCTTTGATGAAGTTGGATCTTTTGAGTCTTGCAGTGTTTGATCTCGCTGTTCTCGTGTGCAGTATATGATCCTCCATAGCTGTGGCCTTGGTGTACTGTATGAGGGCCTTGCATTCCCATCTCCTCTGCAGGGCCACTATAGATGTTGTTTGTTCCATCTTTTCTATAGGCATTGACCTCATTGCTCCAGTGATTATTCGGAGAGCCTGGTTTTGCACTTTTTCCAGAGTGTATTTGCGAGTCTGTGCTGTAGTCATCCATGCACTGGATCCGTACTCGAAATGGGCCTGATTGCGCCCAGATAGACCTGTCTAAGTGTTTTCTCATTTGCTCCCCACTGAGTCCCTGCTAGTTTTCTCATGATGTTAAGTTTCTTCCTGGCTTTATTTTCTGCATTCTAAATGTGTTGTTTCCATGTGAGACGCTTGTCAAAGATTATTTCAAGATACTTCTGTTGATTCTCAAACTTTAGGGGGGTTTTGTCTAATGTGAGGTGTTTTGGCTCAGCCTGGCTGAGAGTGAAGAGTGTAGCAGAAGACTTTTCTTTGTTTACGGTTACACACCAGGTTTTTGTCCATGTAGTGAGTTTGTAGGCTTTTTTTGATTTATGGAATATTTTTCATATTACTACATTCTATATGCCTCAGAGGGAGTGATTTTAAGGACAATTTCGGTGTTTTAGCCAGTCATGTGTTACAATCCGGAATATCTTGCTTATTTTAAACGATATCAAAAAATCCTCTAACAGGTTGCAACTACCTATACTGAGTGTACTCTGTGAAAATATTAACTCTGTAGCTTTATAGATAAGAAAATGACGCCTGCACTAAAATAACGCTTTAGAGGGGGTCGTGACACCCAAAAGTGTAAAAATTTGCGTGGAGCGCAGAAGTAAAGTAGATCTGACTACCTGAATAACGTACAAGATCCCCAAAGTCATATAAAATGCTCTTAAATGATTGCTAAGTCTGTGAATAACGGATTTTGAAAAAAGCATGCTGGTCTTCCCTTAAAACAAATAAGAAAAATGTGCTTTTTCGTCCTAAGGTCAACTAGTGGGTTCCTTTAAGCCAAAATGGAACTCATAACTAGGCTATAGAATTTGAGATTAATAGATGCAAACTGACACAACGTAAGTGTAAGTAAATTTTTAAAAACTGGGTGGCTGTGTTTAGTTTGGTAAAAGTTTAATTGGGCTCGCCACTGCATAAGAACTGGTTAGATGCTGAATGGCAGCTCAAGGCAAACCAGCAAAATAATAGCCACGTTTTACTTCAGCATCAGCAAGTCCATGAGGAGCAAAACCAGAAAACTGGATACGTATTTCTCAGCACAAAATGGATGTCTGTAGTCAGACCCTCAAAAATATCAATGAATTTTCTTTCATACTGATTAACAGCTATGCATGTACAAACAAAAAATCCAGCACTGTCACTGACCTTCGACCTCTCTGTAACCTGTGAGATGCCACAGTTGGTGATCTGCTCGTAGTAATTGTAGAGTCGGACCAGGATGGAGACATCAAACTTCTGCTTGCGAGCCTCCTGAGAATACACGATGGGCCCGATCTGGTTGTGATCGCCAGTCATCACCACACATGTCTTCGTTGAGGCCAAGGTCAAGGGCATCAGAGTCTCACACTCTAACGTCTGGACAAATATATGCAGGGTATGTACATCATGTGAGACGTGGCCAATTTAAAGGCATGATTGCAGTTTCATGCGTCAACACTTTAAAATAGAAGACAAAAAATAGAGGGCAAAAGAGGCACGGATAGACCAAGTACTTACAGAACATGAACAGGTGAGATGAGGAAAAACCTGGTTACTTAGGTTTTCTGGAAGCATCCCAGCACAGACATGAAAGGTAAACTATGACCATCAATCAGTTTCAAATCTGGCATTTGAAGATGAAGAATTATTCTTTCCACTATGGAGCCTATTTCTGCACAAGAAAGCTATTCAGGAGGATGGGGCCCCAGCCCGGGTATTCCAACCAAAGTTCAGTAAAAACTGGAGACAGAGCCAAGTAAAGGAAAAGAAACATTTCTCAAAAGTACAAAAACAAATATCTGTCTGAACACAAAAGAAAAAAAGCAAGCAAAAGAGAATTTCTGCATCACACAAAAGATTATCCATTGTGTCTTACCTGTCCAGCCTCATCAATGAAGATGTGTGAGAAAAAGTCATAGAGCTGTAGGCGGGTGAGCTGCATGGAGTTCTCCACAGTGACCAGCACCAGCTGACACTGTGTGATCAAATCCCTGGCTGGGATAACAAACCGGCCTTCTCTCGAGAGGCAGCAGAAGTCTATCACGACTTCGGGAACTGTTTCCTTTCTGCGCTCCTCCGCCATCAGTCGGAGCATCCTGAGGTTCCCGTTCTTCTTGAAGAAAGTCGCGAAGTGCTTGGTGATGTACAGATCAGCAGCACTAGATGAAAGTTGTGAAGAACCGGTGGTAATTAAAGAAATAAATGATTGTGTTGGCGAGGGAGTGTGTGTGTGTGAGCGTGCGTGTGCGCGCCCACGAGTTTGTGTCTGTGATATGTGTGAGTCAGCACGCATGTGAGTGTCTGTGTCTATATCTGTCCCCCCCCCCCGGCCATAATCAGTCGTAAGAAACATTGTGCTATTTGGGGCTACGAGGCTCGAAAGGCTAAAAAGTGACTTTCCATGATTTTTGTTTGTTTGTTGATATTTTGAAAGTTAAATGTTTTCTGCTTCATTTAAGAGCAAAATAAACAACTATAATCGGCTATAAATATTTTATTTCGATATTTTTTTTTAGGTGTGTGAGTGTGGTTTGTTGTGAGCTTGGGTGACAATAAAAAGGAATTTGAACCTCAAACCCTTTCGAACATTTGACCTGCTGGTGTGTAGCTGTGAGATTATTTATAGAACAATTACCTCATTGCCACATTGCTTCTATGGCCTTCATCGTTCCTATTTTTAGATTTAGACCCCTTTTCGAGCATGAATGGTCTGAAATATAAACAACTTGGCGTCACTATGAACGGCTGAGGGCTCTGATTCATTAAACGGGGTAAGAACGGTAACTCCCAGCCCACTTTAAGCTTGTTTACGTAAACAGCTGACTGTGTAAGCGTGCCCTGCTAGCTCAGTTATGGGCTGTTGATCTTTCAGATTTACACTTCAATTGACTTTAGAAGTTCGTTTTTATTATGCTTTAGTGGGTTTTTTAAAGATTGATCTTTCTCTAGATCTCCCAAGGTGGACTCCTTACCAAGAGGTCACTGAAGTGTCTATGTGCATGCATGTGTGTGTGTGTGTGTGTGTGTGTGTGTGTGTGTATGTTTGTGTGTGTGTTTGTGCCTGTGTGTATTTGTGTATGCATTATGTATGAGTGCGCTCGTGAGTTTATAGTGCCATTGCAAAAGTATAATAAGAAAGCGTAAACACGACACGTAAGCTGACTCGCGGACTTCCGAGCACGTGATTTCGGTGACATCTAAATAATTCAGATCACTTTTTCTTTGCTCTTTCGCTATAACACATCAAATGCTGTACACCTTGTAAAAGTTCAGCCTTTTTTTTCGTTACAATAGTGTAATTTGTATTTCTGAGTATAAGGAGCGAGAGAATCGTCGTGGAAAGCGAAGCCCCTCGCGGTCGGAATGCGGGATTTGCCGGTTCAAAAATTGACACCCATGCATTCAAAAGCTTTGAAGAAAAAGTGATGATTAAATACCGTCTTTTCATTGGCAAACAACTTCTTTCGAGTCTTGAACTGGGCTTCCCGTGGTATATTTTTGGCCTTTGGCGTTTAAATAGAAAGCCTTTAAAAAAGCGTACAAGTTTTCAAAGATCATTTTTAACACGAATTATGTAAAATACTGACCAAAAAAGGTATGAATAGAAGAACAGTTCTTTTTCTATTAGAAGTAAGTCATCGGCTAGGAATTATTTTGCATCAATCCTTCCGGGAAACTCCTTGGAGCACCCAGTACACTACAGTTAGAGCCGCTCGCTCGCCGGCCGGGACAGCGCTCAGTGCATTTTTAAAAATCGAAATAACGACAGATCATCCTGTTTGAGGCAATAAAATACTGATTTGTAATGTTCTCACAGTCATGAAAAAAAAATTGGCTCCATTTCTATGTTATGGTGATATATTAAATTAAAACAGCTGCATTTTCTTAAACTTTGACTGAGAGGTAAAAGTATGGTATCAAAATTCACAGAAGACACAGGCCTTTCGCATGAACAGAAAAATTTGACATACACAGCTACTTTGAAAATTTAGTTTCTGGTACCTACAATGCTAACCCGTTGTTGCATTTAATGTGAAGACCCTTCTTGTTAAAATGTTGTTTTGTTCATAAGCTTTTTTCTGGAATGAATAGTTTTCTACTTCTGTGTGATACCTTGTAGTGTCATAGCCAGGTAATCTGCTAAATTTCAAGTCTCTATCTCAATTCTAAGACTCCCGTTGCTATGGAAACATGTGGTTCAACTTTGGAGCCCATTTTCTCCTTTTCCTGTTTCAGCACCTTGCATACTTTAAAAAGTTCCATATTTTCGTCAAATATTGTCTTGTTTACCTCATTCTTTTCCCAAATTGTACAGAAATGGTGATAGTTTTGGGAAATTATGTTAACTAAAATTTTGAAATTTCCTTCATACGACTGATATTGACAGGCAGGGACACATATGTGTCTCTGTGAGTGTAATGGGTATTGGATAGAATTAACACCCCTTTCAGCATTGAAAAGATATTTCAGATGAAAGACTTCTGACTTCTGATATGCCCAAGTCAAACAAGTGGAAAGTTTTGAAAACTCCCAAAACAACTCAAATTCAACAATAGATCAATTGGGGAATCAAACCAAAGTCATCCACACCATAGCCCAGGATGATACTAAGTTATCTGACTCAATGACCTTGGCTGACTGTGAAACTGTACAAATATAAAACCAAACAGTTCACAAATTCAGAGTCCATCATCAACATTTAGAATGTGTACAGAAAAAGCTAAAATTCCAGTAACCTGCTCGATAAAGAAAAGAAAAGACAAAACTGAATTGACCCGGCATACTTCGTAGGTAAATGATTTTCTTCGCAATGACAAGCATAACGACATGCGTAACTTAATATACGAGGGGGAGTCAAAAAGTAAAGCAAGTTGCTAGTTATTTTGCACAATTTTGCATCAAATTTAATTAAATTCAGCTCACAAATACTTGCTCATGTACTCATGAACTCAAACTGTTAGAATTTAAGTTTCTTTAATTTTGGCCCGAATGCCGTCCCATCAAAATGGCTACCCTCTTAGGTCTGTCAGAGGTTAAGAGCTGTGATTGAATTTCTTGTTTTAGAAGGAGAATCCACCAGTAGCATCCAAAAGAGACTTCAAAATGTTTACAAGGATCAAGCTCTAGATTTTGGCACTGTATATAGGTGGGTTAGATGTTTCAGCAATGAACCGGAAGCAGAGGTAGAATAGTCAATTATGTTTGTAAAACAAGCATCGTCCGGAGGAGTCAGCCGGAAAAATCATGGCAATTGTATTTTGGGGCATTCACAGCGTGCTTCTCACAGATGTTTTTTTTACCACGAGGACAAACTGTCAATTCTAAACCCTACATTGAAACACTGAAACAACTGAAAGCGAGAATTCGACGAGTGAGACCATATTTGAACATGGAAAAAGTGTTTTTTCACCATGACAATGCCCGCCTGCATTCGGGTACCAGAACAAGGGAGACAATCACTCAGTTTTCCACACTGTTTATTCTCCTGATTTGGCACCTTCAGACTTCCATTATTTTGGTCCTTGGAAAGAACTATTGACAGGTGAACATTATGGAAACGATGGAGAAATCAAGACAGCTGTACCCCTAAGACCAACCTGATCAGTATTACGAAGCTGGCATATGTGGACTTGGTAAAAGGTGGACAGTCGTTAGAGAATGAAATGGAGAATCTGATCCTCAGATGTTCCCCTTCAATCTAAGGTATGATAGTTGCCAGTGCATTCTTTTTTCTTTAAGTTATAAACGAACTTGCATCACTTTTGACTCCCCCTCGTAGATGCATTCTTCAAGCAATTGCTTGTCAAGTTTAAGTGAGTTCATGTTCATATGTCTTGACAACAGTCCAATGAAAAAAGAAGTTCTACATTTTACAAAGTTCTTAATGGACAGTTAGTCACTGAATAAATAATCTGGTCTCCAAGCAAGTGTGCATTGAGTGTGCGCACGTGAATGAGTGTGTCTGAAAGTATGCATACACAATAGAACTCAAGAAAACACACAATTGTGATGAACAAATTCTAGCAAAGAATGTCTCCATAACGAGGAAAATTTAAGAAAATTAAGTGGGGTGTCGGGAACAAAGAGTCTTTTTTTAGTTTTAGTAAGTATTTTATGGCACTTGCAACACAACAAGGTCATATAAGTGCCGAAGATTAGGTGGTAAAAGAGAGTTTGTTTTTTTAGTAGAGGTTTGTTCTGTTTTAGTAGAGGTTTTACGGCCCTCGCAACTGCATACGGTCATATGAGCATCAGAAGATTAGAGGTGTTAGAAGAGAGTAATAAACATAAAAAAGAAGGAGGGGAGATAAGGACGATAGATGTTTGATAGGAAAGAAAAAGCAAGCCACACCAGAGCACCCGCCAACCACCCACTAATAGAGGTTTTACGGCGCTCGTAACTGCATAAGGTCATATGAGCGCCAGAAGATTAGAGTAGTTACAAGAGAGTAACAAACATAAAAAAGAAGAAGGGGAGAACTTTTTTTTCTTTTTTAGTAGAGGTTTAACGGCGCTCGCAACTGCATAAGGTCATATGAGCGCCAGATTAGAGGTGCTACAAGAGAGTAACAAACATAAAAAAGAAGCAGGGGAGATAAGGACGATAAACGTTCGATAGGAGAGAAGAAGCAAACCACACCAGAGCACCCGCCAACCAACCACTACAAGAGAGTAACAAACACAGAAAAGAAGGAGGGGAGATAAGGATGATAGGTGTTTAATAGAAAAAAGGAGCAAACCACACCAGAGCACCTCCCAACTACCTACACAAAAAGTCTAAACCTGCATTCTCAATGTTGATGATTGACCTAAAATATAATATGGAATAAAATCATGTGCCCCCTGCAGATTTGGGCCTCCGAACACCACCCCCACCTCCATTATTACCTGTTGCTCTGTGTACAGATCAGGATGTGCGAGTCTGGCTTGTGCTTGAGCACAGCCATGGTGGCCTGTGCCAGTGTCTCTGTCTTTCCTGTGCCGAACGGGCCGTACATGATGAAGGGGGGATTGTGGCCCTCTGGGGCCAGCACGATGTGTCTTACGGCCGTCATTTGGTCCTCGTTCAGGACATCAGACCTGGAGGACATACAAAAAATGGTTGTTCCTCCCTGTGGCTAAGTCACCTTTCCAAAAATCAGAAAGCTCACCACAAATCTTTCTCAAGCAAACAGTTCTTAACAATTATGAAAATCTAACCAATCGCACAGTTCTTACCGACTATAATAACTTAGTCATATCTCTTACCAGCCACAAATATATTCCCAAGTACACAGTTCTCACAAACTATAGATATCTCAACAACAGCACAGCTCTTACCAACTATAGAAATCTTACCAACATATCAAGTATAGAAATCTTATCAAACCTTACTATCCTTTCAATGACATGAATCTTAAGAAACTTGAGCAAATTACTGGTATCACCACTGAAATGATTTGTTTTGTTTTAGTAAGAGTTCTACGGCACTTGGAACACAATAAGGTCAAATATGTGCCGAAGATTAAAGGTATTACAAGACAAAAAAGAAAAAGAGACAAAGACGAGAGATGTTTGATAGGAAAGAAAGAGCAAACACCACAGATGGTCATCTGAGCAAAGATGATCATAGTTTCTATTCTATTCAGTTATATGAGGAAATGCACGTCCTACTATACAGTGGGTCTACATATTTCATCCAACATACTTGTACAAGTTCTTTTTCTAAAACCTGGCAACTTGCAACTGACAAATATTAGTAATAGTGTTCAACTGTGCTGTTTAATTTCATGATCCAGTACTATGCCTAAAGCCATAAAAAGAAATATGAGCTAAACAGATGACCTGTGCTATTATTCATGATTAACACAAGCTTTATGAACCTCAACCTTCTTTTCCTACTTACTTCACTTTCATGGAGGTGACTTGGTCAGTGTTGGGTTTGAACTTCATAACATCCGGGAAGACGACATCTGTGCTGGTCAAACAATCAATGGCATAGTGCATCCGGCAGAAGAACTTGCGGTCCATCTGGAACTGCAGCTCAATCTCCACCTGCTGGCTGTGAGAGAGCCCCAGCTGTTTGGCCATAGCACCCGAGACCACCACATAGATATAATCCTTTCCCCGGCCGTCATAGTTGTAGTCAGAGTCTTTCATAACAACTGCCTCATACACCTTGGGGACAGGGTAGGGCAGGTGGTAGTGGTTCCAGACAGGGCAAGGGGCAGGACAAGGGACAGGACAAAAGGAGAGAAAAATTTAGTCAGAACGATTCTATTTTTGCTTTAGCATGAGTTTAGCGCTTTGCTATACACAGCTACACTTCTTCAAAGCCAGAGCTATCAAGCCACTATAGCAAAGAACTAGGATGATACATTGAAGTGGGTCATTGTAAACCATGAGGAGGGAGGGAGGGAGGGAGGGAGAGAGAGAGAGAGAGAGAGAGAGAGAGAGAGAGAGGGGGAGAGAAGGGAAAGGAGGCAAATGCCCACACTATTAAGAAATTATCAGTTTTGTTTGGTATACGATAACTTTCTACGATCAACATCAGATGTCTAAGGAATGGATACAAAATTTAAAAACCACCTGAACCTAGAGAGTGGTCAGTGGCCAGGACTCACCAGCTGTGAGTGTGAGTTTGACGGGGCAAACAGCACTGAGCTGACGCTGGACAGCACCAGCTTGCCCGCCAGTGTGTCTTCCGTCAGGTACTCTGAGAGCTTCACTTTCATGAAGAGGTCGCCATTTTGGGCAATGAGGAAGATGCCCGGCTCGTCAAAGGTTTGAGTACATACAACATTGGTGATCAGGTTGTAACTGGCAGGAAAGAAGATTTTTTTTAAAGTGGGGGGGGGGATTAAAAGAGAAGGACATTGACACAATTATGGATATTTTAAAAATTAAAACCCAAGATAAATATAATAAGGTAGCATCTGTATGGCGTAAACCCCCACTCAACACCAAGCTCCATGCACTTTACAAGCTATAGTATTACCCCAGCAAACCCAAGAACACTCAGAAACATAGCTTCCTGGGAAGCATACAGTGCAAGCAGCCAATTAAACACTTAAACACTGGCAGACAAGACCCAAGACCTTACGCTGTCTATAGCAGAGTACCCATTCCCATCTGGGTGAAGTGAGGGAAATCAGTACAAGGTGCCTTTCCCATGGACACAACACCATGCTCCTGACAGGATTCCAATACATAACATTTCAGTTGCAAGCCCAACAACCTAACCACAAGACCAACGATATCACATAGACAACAAACAGAAATGAAGGACTGACTGTAAGGCAGCAGCACAAATAACAAATTCCTGGACTACAAAAAATGTGTAGACACTGCCTATCATCCCTGATGATAACAAGTGCCCAAAAATAGAAGAATAAACAGAAAAATTAACCCAAAAAAAAGCAATAAGATGCATAAGACATTTAATCAGGAGTTGGGAAATACTGGGAAAGACAATATTATTTAACGGGAGGAGCTACCCCTGAGGACCATTTTGTATGTTTGTTGCTCAAGATCAAATCTAGGTACACACATAAGTTAGGCATAGTAAAATCTCTTGATGTGCCATTTTATTTTGGAATAGCAACAGCGGTTGCCATGGAAACATCCGCCATCTTGAAAACAAACAATGAATTTCAAATCCCTAAGGCTTTCTTATTTACAGACCAAATTAGACCAAATTTGGTGAGAGTATACCTGAACCAGACCTTGTCAGAGTAACAGCAAGTTTTTTTCAATAAGTGCAAAAGAAAAATGAGAATTTTCCCAAAGTATAATTTTTTTCCCTCTAAATTTAGGTTGCATTATCGCTTGCCAATGGCAAAGTGTTATTGTTTTCGCAAATATCTCTCTGTTACATTGATGGCAGCCTTTCCATCCATGTTTCCTGAAAGTTTCATGTCAAAAAGATGAAAAATAAGGAAGGAGTAGGAAAAAAAGTGCAAAAAAATTACATTTTGCGAAAGACGACAATTATAGTAAAAATTCACTATATTAACCCATCCTCATGTTTTCAAAGGCAATTTATGAGGAGTAAAGACTTTCTCAATTGTATTCATGCTATTCTAAGACTTTAAAAAAACTGGTTGATTTAAAAAAATCAGCCAACACAAAATTTGCATAGCCTGACCCAAAATCTGAAAAATCAAGGGTCGCTCATCCCCTTAAGGGAAGACCCGGGTCGGCGATCCCAAGCAATATCGATAAAATTTTTCAAACTATCCAACTTTCATATTTTGCAGAAAAACATCCTTTGACATCTGTTCTATTGGGTCACAATGAAGAAACTGTTGAAAAAACACTCTAATTGACCTAAAAGGCGTAATCCTTTTTAAAACCCCTGTTTTTTCTGTTTTTCTCAAAATCTACTTTTTGGCATATATGTGATCCCCTTGGTGCAAGGAGTTTTGGAAAACTACAGAAGCTAAAAGCTTCAAATTTGGTGTACAGGCGCTTAAAGATCTATTCTGGGGATCTATGTGAGGGAATTGGGAAATATTGGTAACCTGTGGAAATATTCCAATTTTTTGTAAAAGGTATACCAAAATTTCGTCATCGGACTCTTGGGGGTCCAATGACTTTGGCTCCATTTTTTTTGTTTTAAAGATAGGTCAAAATCCTCACACAGATCCCCAGTTCATACAGGTATGCACTTGTGTGCCAAATTTCAGGCTGATAATTCAATATTTACTATGAAATTCTTCTGCACTTAGAAACTGGTTTGAAAATCCAAGATGGCCACCACAGAGACCCATTTTTCAGAAAAATTCAACACATTCACCCTCAGTACATCCTAATTACCTATGAACTTCTTGCACAATTACATGAAAGTGAATAAAAATCATTCGTTTAGAAAATTTTTCCGGTAGTGTACGTCTCCCCTTAACAACTGAGAATTTTTTTAAAAAGAATCCAAGACTTCTTCAAAGGTGAGATTTGAAACAGACATTGATGATCAAGGTTCACCAATCATTTCTCTGCTTAGATGCTCTCAAAAATATATTATCCTGGTCTTCTCCTGTCATCCACCTGTTCAGATCTCCAAGTACAATAAATTTTTGTGTACCTCAAAAAGAAGTTGACATTGTGGCGTTGGTGGCCTAGTGGTTAGGCTCTCGGACTCGCAACCGTAAGGTCGTGGGTTCGAATCCCGTCAGGGACCCGACGTTGTGTCCTTGGGAAAGGCACTTTACACGAATTTTCCTCACTTCACCCAGGTGGGAATGGGTACCCGGCTATAGACAGCGAAAGATCTTGTCAGTTTGTTAGTGTTTGAGCGCTTAATCAGCTGCTTGCACTGTATGCTTCCCGGGAAGCTGAGAATGTTTCGGAATGTTCTATGGTCTGCTGGGGTAATAATATAGTGTAAAGCGCATAGAGCCTGCTGTTGAGCGGGGAATATGCGCTATACAAATGCTATTTAAAAAAACAAAAAAAAAACAACTAAAATATGGAATAGAAAAGGAAAAAAAAACAACAAAAAACAACTGAAAAAAAGAAAAAGAACATCCAAGCAAAAGTGTAACTAGCCAGCAAGTTATTCTGGGTGTACAGGTGGGTGGGGGTGGGGGGGAACCAAAGCCAAGCAAAACTGCAGCTGGAGGGTAAGTAATCTTTCCGTACCTTACAATGAACACACATGACCAACAAAAAATTATCATTAAAAAAAGAGCGCGGGGGGGGGGGAGCTAAACGAAACAGATACCTGGCGATCATGCCATGACGTGTGATCTCCTCCAGTTCCAGAAGTTTGTGCATCTTGTGTATGTAGTTGTGCTGGTTGAGATCCGTCATGCTGTTCAGTGTGACCACGGCTTCCGAGTGGGCCGGCTCCTTGTACTTGAGCAGCAGCTCCAACGTCAGCTTGTCTTCTTCCCTCTTGGGCGCACGCACAATCTCACGGTTCTGGCTGGTCCACCGGTCAGCTGACAAATTTTCCCTCAGCTCTTTCACCTAAAGAGACGGACAGACAAATTTTTCTCCATAAACTGCAGTAAGAATTCAAACTGTGTGGAGTGAGTACAAAAAATATTACATCATAATTTATATTGTTACAGATGTCATTTCAGCATGTTGATAAGTTTGCACTCTCAAACATATTACATAACTTTAAAAACGCATACACCAAGACAAATATACGCTACTCAAAAAAGTGATAATATTAGTAATCTCAATTCAGCACAGTGAAACACCCTCCCACAGTAATGGACACAACTAGAAACGTACGCAAAGAGAAACGTGCACACTGTCTCATAGATGCAAGTAATTAAAAAACACTTCCTTACAAATGTACACCACTTCAAATTCACAAATAAATACTCACAACTACACAAGTGTCATTACAGTTAGAAACACTGAATACCAAGTGTAAATAGGACCACACACCACATACCTTCTCATGCTGCAGTTGATCTCCAATCTCCACTGCCAACTTTCTGACCAAAACAGGTCGTTGCCCAAAGTCAAAGACAACCCACTGACTGAAGGATCCAAACATGCCAGCTGTGAAATGTACCTGAAACAGAAAGTTTAGTTAGTTACAGTAGAGATTCCATGGCGCTCGCAACTGCATAAGGTCATATGAGCGCCAAGGGGTGCATGTCAACAGAGAAGTCTTTATAGGGAATCGGGCTTACTCTGCTCATCTCTCTAGCTTCAACAGCACAAAGTCTGTTTCAACTTTCAAGGCAACCCAGAAATAGCAGGTCACAAGAGTGTGACAAACGTACAAAAGAAGTAGAGGAAAATGATGATAGTAAGGATTAGGAAAGAAAAAGCTACAGTTCCCTGTCGTAGTACAGGCACAGTGATGAGCATGGCATTGTTGAATCAGCCCATTTACAATTATTCTACTGTGCATAAGAAGGAGAAATGTCCCCCCTTTGGGAATGGCCTAAAGACACTACTGGAACAGAAAGAAATACGAAAAAATGAATGGTACATGGACATGTACCGCCTGCTATGATTCTAGCTCTGGATCCAAGTAAATCCAAGTAACAAACAATACACGATGGGCTTAACCTCGCATCGAGTATGCTGTCTGCTAGAGTTCGTCTGTTCACCCGCCCGCTCGGTGAATAAAATTGTGGAGCGGACCCAAAAAACTGATTTGATGCTTGAAGTTCACAGACCGCTCGCTGAGAGAGTCAAATTGTGGAGCGGAAGCAAAAAACAAACTGTCTTGAGGTTCGCAGTACGCTCTCATGGCCGTCCGTTACCCGCTCGCTCTGAGTCCGCAAGTAACGAACCCACTGTCCGCTTGCTCCAACTCTACAGTATTCATAAAAATGGAAATGGGATACATGAAAATACCATCACACACGCAAAAACAAGAAAAACTATACATAGACTTGTATTTTCACACTGTATAAAGACTTCACCAAAGATTGTAAATGTTTTATTCCCCCCATCTTAGATTATTTTCTATACTGGCTGCTGAGGAAGTGGAGATACTCAATAAAATAACTTTCCCAGGTAGGAATCAAACACATCTTCTATGTGCAGTGACGAAGAGCCTAACCATTATGTCACAGGAATCGGATGGCTCTGTCCTTCAAAGACCACTTACTTCAATCTTGTAGACAGCTGCTCCCCCGCGCACCTCCAGGAACAAATCTCCCCCAGCCACCTGGTGATGAGAGCCGTCTGGGCACTTGAGGACAAAATGAAGGCGGTCTTTGTTGTAGAGCAGGGCCACTCGCTCCAGTTCTTTCTCATCCTGGACCCAAAAGATGCAAAAATACTTTTTCTGACTTACCAGGAAGAAAATTCATCCCATAACACAAAAAGTTTGTTTTGTTTAAGTAAACATTTTACGGCACTTGCAACACAGTTAGGTCATATCCATGCCGAAGATTAGAGGTGTTACAAGAGAGTAACAAACACAAAAATGAAGGGGGAAAGATAAGGACAAAAGATGTTTGATAAGAATGAAGAGCAAACCACACCAGAGCACCTGCCAACCGCCCACACACAAAACAAAAGTTCACCTACTTTTTGTTTTAGTTTTAGTATAGGTTTTTACGGCGCTCACAACTGCATAAGGTCATAGGAGCGCCATGGGGTGGATGTCAACAGAGAAGTCCTTACAGGGAATCAGACTTACTCTGCTCACCTCTCTAGCTTCAACAGCACAAAGTCTGTTTCGACTTTCATGGCACCCTGGAAATAGCCGGTCACAAGAGTGTGACATGCATACAAAAGAAGTAGAGGTAAATGACAACAGTAAGGATTAGGAAAGAAAGAGCAGCAGTTCCCTGTTGCAGTTTCGGCACAGTTATGAGCATGGCATTGATGAATCAGCCCATTTACAATTGCAATTCTACTGAACATAAGAACTCGAGATGTTAAAGTCCCCCCATTTGGGAATGGCCTAAAGACACTTCAGTCAGTAGCACCGCCCAGGGGGGGTGGGTTTCTACATTTTGACTGTTCAAGTGAAAGACTGTCATATGTCACTTTTCAAAATGGTGTACAACGGAGTCTTGCACTAAGCAGTTGATTTTCACCTAAACTATCACAAGGATGGTCAATCATTACATCTTTGGCAGGGGATGATCACATAAAAATAGCAGTTGTGAGAGAAAAAGGCACTATCCAACACTGTCCCTAACAACCAGTTTTATTTACATAATTTTTCTGTTCATTTTTGTCTGCGTTACCGCCCTACTTAGACCTGCATGTGAGCCTCAACCAGACTGTCTGAAAATTTCGCGCAACCACCCCCCCCCCCCCAAAGCCTTTGTGGGTGTCATAAGGAAGGACTATCCGAGTAACGAGCGACCACCCCAACAAACACAATAAAGAAGAGACCTAACCTTAACCCTACCCCCAAAAAGAACCTGCAACGGGCCTCATGTAAAAAGGCCAAAACAAGTCCTAAATGAAAAAAAAAAATTAAAATTAAAAAACCACACTCCAAAACAAACAAGGCTTACATCTACATTGCTTTTGGGTTTGATACAATAACACAATAGAATTGGAATATGAATACTCCATACAGATCTAGATCTAGATCTAGTTATCTAAATAAATCTAGATAGAACTAAATCTAGAATCTAGATCAACATCTTGTAGAACAAGTGAATAGGAATAGGCCTTGAACTAGAAATCCGATTCGATTCCGAATAGAGGGACTCAGCTGAGTCTAGATTCTAAATAAATAAATAATTCACGCACCTGATGAAATGCTTATTTTTACCAATATTAATATTACAGCACAACCTATGATAGGGTTTGACACAATAGAATTGGAATATGAATCCTCCATTGAGGTCTATAATGATCTATATAAATCTAGATCTAGATCTAGATTCTATTAGAACTAGAGAGTCGGACTTGAATGAATCCACACGATCTGAACAATTGAATTAGTCAACAAACGAAATTCAAAATGGCCGCTCGAGCACGAAACTGAAAGTAGATAATTTAGGTTGTCGTCCTTTTTCGTGTTCGCATTTCTACTTAGGTTCCGACAATTATGTCGGAAACGCCGACGTCGGCAGTCGGCGGTGCGTACGTCGGCGGTCGGCACGAAAAACGAAAGTGCCGACGAAGCCGACGGGAGAAAAAGGGGTCGCTGGCAGTTGGCCAGGCCTCGCACTACGCACATTGACTGAGGCGGGCTTAGCGATAGCATCGGCCGGTTCGCGATTGTCAGATTTCAGACGATTGTCGGCAAACATGCAGGTCTACCTTACTAGACACACTTTAAAAAAAGGCTGGCTCCACTTTGTAAGGGTCCAGGGGGTCTATCCAGTTTTTGTTACATCAGACCCCCATCCCACAGACTGACAAGAGAGCTGGACAAAACACATACAGAGAAAAGTTTAGTTTTAGTAAGAGTTTTACAGCACTTGCAACACAATAAGGTAAGATAAGTGCTGAATTTTTCGTTTTTTGGAAGTAGAGGTTTTACTGCGCTCGCAACTGCATAAGGTCATATGAGCGCCAAGGGGTGAATGTCAACAGAAAAGTCTATACAGGGAATCGGGCTTACTCTGCTCACCTCTCTAGCTTCAACAGCACAAAGTCTGTTTCAACTTTCAAGGCACCCCGGAAATGGCAGGACACAAGAGTATGACAAACATACAAAAGAAGTAGAGGAAAATGACGATAGTAAGAAGAAAATTTTTCTGTCGAACCCGGAACCTTTGAATGAGAGGCCAACACCTTAACCTCTAGGCCATGAGAGCCCTAAAAGTCAGGGCGGGTTTGCAGGGACTCTTGACCAGTACTGACCTCTACTTGCACTTCAAAAAGCCATGTGAAGGTGGCATTTTTCTCACTCTTGTAAAGCACTTGCTCCTCTTGGCATTGCACGTCCACACCACGAACATAGTCAGAAATCTGGGACGCCCAACATAGGAAATAAAAGAAAAATCAAACAATAAAATATTTTTCATATATCAACATACATAGAGAAATGTGGGCTGCAATGACATATTGTAGTGATGCAGTATGTATCCCAACCCCCAACCCCCCTCCTGTCTGTAGCACTGACACTAACACCACTGACACTAACACCACTGCTCCCCAACACCCCTTCCCTCATCAAAATGACGTCATTACATAGCTTCCAACACTCACCTCTCCTTCTTTCCTCTTCTTCCTACCCTCCTCCTCCTTTCAAACATATATCCACCACATTGACAACACCGTTGCCCTTCTTGCAGTTCTCCTCTATGAGGGCCTATGTGTAGGAGAACACAACATGCTCTATCTGTTACTACTCGCGATGCTTGTTGCCCAAATCCCTCGTACCCAACACGCAGACACCGCCGAAATGCCCCCCACCCCCCTTCCTTCCCTCCTCTGCACCTCTACTTCTCTCCCTATTCCCAACCGCCAACCACACTGAAAACCTTTGTAGACCTCCACTTGGGCCTCAGTATACAAGAACATGTGTCGCTTCATCTGGCACCTATGTGACGCTTGCACCACCTCCCCTCTCCCTTCGTTCTTACAAACCCTACTGCGCCCCCCCAGTACCCACTACATGCTCGCACACTGCTGTCCTTGTAGTTATCCTCCAGCAGGGCTTCAGTGTAGGAAGAACATGTGTCGCTTCATCTGGTGTCACTGCCCTCCTCCCGACAAATCATACGGCACCCGCCCTTCCCCTCCCTTCTCTTTCTAATCCCACCTCCCCCAGTACCCACCACACTGACACTGCTGTCCTTCTTGTAGTACTCCTCCAGCAGGGCCTCGGTGTAGGAGAACATGTGTCGCTCCTTGGCTACCGTGCGCTTCATCTGGCGCCACTCATGACGCTCGCGCCACTCATCTAGCTCCATCTGGCTGTGCGCGTACTTGCACAGGTTGTACATGTCTGGCACATACGAGTAGCGACAGGACTTGTCATACAGATGCCTGCCAAGGACAGAAATTGTTAAAATTTTGCTCTTTATCTTTATTATTGACATAATGCATGGACTATTTTTATTGGTACCAGTCAATAACATTCTCCCAGCTCCCCTTCCTGGCAAGCACACAATGCAAGCAGCTAATTAAGCGCTCAAACACTGACTTGTCCTGTACATATCAGTAACGACACGAATTGTCATATTGTACTACATAAGTATCAAAACATGAAATTACCCATATACAGGTATCAAACCAGGAAGCTGCACACACACAGACACACACACACACAGCTACCAAACCAGGAAAATGGTCAATACTTACTGGGCACAGAGGGCCAGACTGTTGCCTTGCCCCCAAGGCGGTTGGCGGTAGTTCCACTGGTGCTCCTTGTCAGAGTTGACATTGTTGATATGTTTCTCCGTCATGCAGTGGTCGTCCCACTGCCGCAGGCTGTTGAAGCTGGTGCCACAGTAGTGGCAGTAATGCTCATTGATGAACAAGTCACCCGGGGCCACAATCTGGTTCAACGTCTTGGCCTCATTTGGTCGAGAGCTGGGGAACTTCGGTCCACTTCCCATGCTCACTACAGACTCTCCTACTGTGATCTTGCGCGTCTTGGACTTCTGATGATCCTTGATTCTCTTGCAGACCTCTTGCAGCTGCCTGACTATAAATAAAAAGGAAATAAATATTTACATTGGTACATACCAACTGCCCAGTGTAAGACTCCATCATACGGCAATTTTCAAAATAGCATTCTCAGCAGTTGATATACAGAACACACAAAATACAGTTGAACCTGCTGCAACGACCACCTGAGCAAGACAAACACCTGTATAAACAGCCACTTTCCATTTCCTCATTTGCATATTTTATTTACATTACATTGACACTGTGTCAGGCAGCTACCTGTATAATGCATTACAATCAATTTTTTCTCTTCGACAATGGGTGGCTCTAGATAAAATTAAGTTTAAGCAAGAGTTTTCCGGCATTTGCAACATAATTACACCATATAAGTGCTGAAGATTAGAAGTGTTACTAGAGAGTAACATACAAAGAAAAGAAGGAGAGATAAAGAGATAACGATGACATGTTTAATAGGAAAGGAGGAACAAATCACACCAGAGCATCTGCAAACCACCAACTGATACATAATAGGCATTCACTCACATTTATATTGGTACATATTACACACAAATTCAGACACAGATAAACATTCTAGTCTGGCATACACAGTGAATGCATTATTTCTATATCCAGCCAACTCATACTGTAACAACTTAAACAACCACAATTGACCAATACTAGAAATGTAGGACCAACCCAAGATGCCCTGCAACCAACCGTATTCCACAAATATGCTAAAAGGCACCTGTAAACAATTCACAGTGACAGACCTCTAGCGCCCACTATAGGCTGAACATGTTGAGTTTTTCACCCCGCTCCACTTCAATATCAGGATTTCACATGGATCACTGTTCTAAAGCACACTATGACTCAACTTAGGACCTCTACCTGGCAAACCTTGTTTGGAAAGACTTCACCAGACAGACAGACACTCACACACATCCTACCGCAGATCCCGATTTGTACAGGTCCTACATCTTGACATTTGATGCCCCCCAAAAAGAGAATACAAACCATGTAAAATGTTCTTATTGGAAAATCTCAAAGAAGAAAAAAAATGCAGGCAGTAAACTAAAGGCAAAGACAGCATCTGTGAAAAAAAAGTTTTCTACTTGTCAAAGTGAAAGTCATGCGATAAAGATCTACAAAAGCTCTATACTTGTATCTTGGAAAAGTTCCGCCCTTTCATCCTGGAAAAGTTCTGCGACAGAAATCCTGAAAAGTTCTGTGGTGTAAACTCAGAAAAGGTCTACCGTTAAAACTTGAGACAACAAAACAAATTTTACCATTATTTTTCAACATCCAGGTCCATACGTCCGACTCCTCCTGATTATGAGGGTGTGTACAGACTGGCCGCTTGCAATTTGCCCGAAAGTCACACAGCACCAATTTCATATTTGGATTTAAACGACCTGACGGAAGACTGCGAATCTCCTTGCCTGACGGCAAAGCCACAAAAACGCTGTTCACCTGAGTACACACAAAACAACAACAGCTGTTACCACTGGCTTAATGCAAGTGAGGTGGGCAACTCAAGGGCAAGACTACAAGACTCAAAATCACATGTTTGGGGTTTGATTCAAAGCAAAGAGGGTCTGCTCTTCTCTATACAAAAAGAACATTGCCTGATCTTTCTTGAGAAATTAAACCTTCAGCATTCTTAGGGGGGAGGGGGGGCAAAAGCATACTATTGTCAAATCGCAGTTGACTTTTTTCCATTTATTCCACTAAAAGCTACAGATATTGAGAGAAGCTCCAGCCCCTGATTGCACTACTGTCTCCAAGAAACTCGTTTTCAGAGAGCTAAACAGTTCTTAAGTATTTTTCTGATTTTATACTTGAGTACGAGGGAACATTCAAGAAAAAGCAGGCGGCTTATTATAGCAAGTCAATTTTAAAATATCCGACACTTATCGAATAATCTATATTGTCAGCCAAGTTGGTGGACTTTTTTTAATAAAGCTACTTTTAGGGTAGATTTTCATTATTGATATAGGCTCAAGCAAAAGTCCCTTGCTTTTATGGAATTTCATCCCAGCAATTAGACTGATTTTGCATTACTAACTCTCTGTATTGATTTCTTTTTCCAAGGTATACAAACCCTGAATTTGTCTAAGTTATGTCAGACTGAAAATACATTGAGTCTTTGAGTTTGAAAATCACACTTAGAGCACAAAATGAGTTTCCATGAGGTAAAAATAAAGAAATGTTTTCCGTGCCAGTTGCTCATAGAAAACAGAGAAAAACATTCAATTGTGCATACCCTCTAAACAAAGTTTTTCACTGACAATAGAAAAATCGGCGTCTGGTGCAGCAGTAAGGCGCTTTGCTGTTGCACACAGAAGACCCAAACTTAAATTCAATTCCTGAGTGGGAACAAACTCTTAATGAGTATTTTATTCTTTCTGATAGGATGTTGTATCTCAGAGCAGGTTGACCCTGAAAGGCATGGTCGGAAGTCTGCCTCCCAAAAGACCTAAATTGTGTCACGGGGGCACTAAAACACTAAAAACACCAACATTTAAAAATAATTAAATAAAACACCAATAGAAACCTACTTTAAAATTGCTGTGGCCTTTGACACATCTGTCTTTGTCTGCATCCTCACAACACCTCTGTCCTGTGCCCCAACAGGTGCGGCACAACTGGGACAAGTTGACCGAGGGTACCGGAGATGGTTCGGGAGCAGCTGCCGCGTAATACCCAGGGGTGGATGTGCTCGTGCTGCCAGCTCCAGAGTGACTTTGGGTGGGGGTCGGACCAGCTGCGTTCCCAGCCTGCTTGTCGGCAGCAGAGCCTTTGGACTGTAACACAAGAAGAACAAAGTTTGGTGAATTGAGACATTCATGGATTTATTGCTTTAACACACGTGCCATACTCACAAGAAGGCAAAGGTACTCTTTTCTCAGGTATAACTGAAATGCTGCACCCCGCTATTTTTATAAATGAGTTGCCCACTACTTGTAGACAGTTCGTACTCTGATTTTAGAAGACAAGAGACGGGTACTTAGGATAGATTTGGCTGTATTCAACAGTTTTATCACAATTCCTAGCATATGGTCCCTCAGTCTCACCATGCCATGCTTCCTCTGGAAGATCTCAATGCTCAGTTTGACTAGCAGATCCCGACTGATCTTTGTGTCACGTTCCACCATCCACACAAGCCTCTCCACCTCACTGTGGGCAAAACGGCACCTGCAACAAGACACAAACACCAAGCATTAAGGATGAGATGAGATGTATCTTACTGACCCTCCATTAGAAGAAATTAACAATACATTTTCACAGGCTCATGCACCACAAACAGTAAAATACAATCAAACCTGCTCTAATGGCTACCAGTTTAACACAGTCATCTGTACAGATAACCATTCCCCTACCCCCTTTGCAATTTTTTTCTACATTATAAAGAGAGACTTGCCACGACAAGACAACCAGTTTTCTCCTCAATGGTGGGTGGCGGTCTTTGACAATTTCGTCTGTACGCAGCAACATGTCGTCACAACCATACAAACACTCACGAATAAACAAAAACACATTCCTGACATCTAAATACATGCACATCCGCCCAGCCCAGTGACCATAAATATGAATTGACTCAGTAGGTGGCCCAAAGCAAACCTTAAAGAAAATGTACAAATAGACCTTGGAAAGTCTCTGTCAACAACATCCCAACTGTTCCTCAATATGTAAGTCTCCAACCAAGCCTATCACTCTCTGTCAGCATTATCATAACGCAAGTCTTTCAGGAAGACCACCACTCTTTATCTGCAATATTCCGACTGTTCCTCAATACCCTTGGCTCCAACGAAACCTACCACTATCCTTCTACAATATACCAAAGGTACCTCAATATACCAGTCTCCCAACAAGTCTACCATTCTCAGTGAGCCTCTCTGTCAGTTTTATTCCAACAGTCCACACATAGCACCATCAGTTTATTCTTTAAAAGATTAAGAATAGAAATTCTAAACATCCTTAATTTCATAAGACCTACTTTAAAGGCTATAGAAGTTCTTTAAGTTGTTTTATGACAGCAGACAGAAAAATAAGGCAAATACTGGGACAATCATGCCACTTAGGACAACTTTGAAACACTCACTGATTGACCACCCAGCGCTGACAAAAGTGTAGATTTTGGCAACGCAGATAGAAGGCAGTGTCATGGAGGATTTTCCTTTCGTCAATGGGTGTGCAAGTCATATCCAACATGTGGGCAATGATCTTGCATTGCTCCCACGGATGTCTCTCAGAGCCAGTGCAGAAATTGCCAGCAGCAGCTTTACTGTTGATTCTCGGTCTGGGGGAGAAAAAGCAGTGCCTACAGATAAACCTGAAGTAGCCGCCGAACTTGTCTAGCAAGAATTCCACATGATTCGCCATGGCTGAGGAGCCTGGAGCAGCCGGTTGGGCCTGGCGGTTGGCCATGATAAAAGCTCCAATGTCAAATTTACCCTGCTGTTCTAGTTTCCAAATCTTCTGCTCCAGTTTGTTGTGGGCAAAGCTGCAGCCCTCTTTCCTAGTACACAAGTTTATGTCCCCATGAAAAGCACTATGGCAAAGAATATAGTTTCCTTGAAAGTTTCGGTGAGAGAGCCGTTCTCGGACTCTCAGCCACAAGTTGTTATTGTACTGATCAGGAGCATGGAAAGCCAGCCAGAACTGACCACAGTCGTGTTTTACTGCTGAGTACTCATATTTCCACTCTCCACCGCGCATCAGGTGAAGGCACGTCTGGCAGCAGAGTTTAAACTGGAAGCCAGGAAGAGGGTTGGGAATGTTGATATGGGTGTTGTTCTGTCTGGTGGACGCTGGAGGCGGTTGACTAAGGTCAATGAGGGGGCTGCGTTGAAAACTTTGGGCGAAAGAAAACGAGGCAGAGGGAGAAGCAGCCGGTGGTACTTGAGGCCGTGCAGGCTGGGGTGGCGGGTGCGCCATATGGAACTGGGAGTTGTGAAACGTCCTGGGATTGTGCTGAGTGGCTGCAGGAAGTGGGACAGTCGTCTTCAAAGAACGGACTGCCGATGTGGCAGGTGGCTAACCAAAAAAAAAAAGAGAAAAGAAAAGAAATTCAGAGAAAAGGGTGTCTTCGATAAAATTTTGGTTGTTTGCGTAAATATAGAGTAATAATGGCCATTTAAAACAGGCAAAAAGCAAAACATACAGAAAAATAGCCCCTTCTAACACATGCTTCTTTCATAGAAAGCAGAGCTGGAATGACAGAAACAAAGAATACAATACATCTTTCCTGATATGCCTCGCCAAAAACAAGAAAAGCAAAGAAAAATGTCACGCAGTAGACACAAAGGTTAATCTTTCCCACAGGGAAGTACAGCCAAAAATTGTGAGTTCTCTTCCCTCTTTCTACAGACACAAAACAAAAACAGTCTCTTGCACCATAGGCTACGATCTATCATAAGTTTCCTTCCTATCTGAGACCCACAAAGACAACATTCTGGACAAAAAAGCGGATATCCCAGTAGGAAGTTCAGTTAAAAACCCAAAGTTCTCTTGCATGCTTTGAAATACTTTCATTTGAAAGCCATTAGCTTCCTGATCATAAAACAATTGAATTGTGGTGACATTTTTATTAGTTAAAAAGTTACTAAAATATCTCCTACTTATTTTCAAGTCAGTTTGAGACCATTTTTGCCACAAGAGTTTTGTGTGACCCAAATGCAAATTGACAACACAAATGGCCATCAGCAAAAGATGCACATTTTGTTTTCAGGGTTGCCAGCAGGCTCTGATGAAAAAAGGATGAAAATTTTGCAGTATAAAATTATAGGCGCGGCACACGCCATTTCATTAAAAGGGTCTAAGGAATAGGTCTCTGGTTCAGACCTGCCACTCTATGAAACCTCAAAATCGGGACCTCAGGGAGAAAAAATCGGGATTTGGTGAAAAAAATCGGGATCAACAGCAAATCACCAAGGTGACTCCAAAGCCGACTTAAAATTTTTCCAGGGGTGTCCATAAATTCCTTGGTCTATATGCCCTCTGTGTGTCTTTGTTTGTTTGCGTGCGTGTTTGTGTGTGTGTGTGTGTGTGTGTGTGTGTGTGCGTGTGCATGCGTACGTGCGAGTTATCATTATTTTTTTTTAATCCTGAAGCATCGCGTCAAGCACTCCTAGTCCAAGGGTCTATACCCCCCCCCCCCTACCAATAAGTCCCGAAATACATGAACTTAAGTTGACCCCGTCAACGGACGGTCCCCGACGTGCAGAACTCACACGCGATGATATGTCACGTGACGCGAATGCGCGATTGAAACAATTTATTTACTAACGGGTCCGACTAACTGCACGTTCACACAAAACACTCGGATGAGCGACAGTCGTTCTACTTCTAGGATAACGACGCCGGCCGACCGACCAAATATACCAACATATCTCTTATCCCTCATGTGTTCAGACTAAAGCAACGACAACGGCCGTATGTTAGTCTTGTCACCGCAGTTACATGTAGTTGTGTAAGGGTTAGAAAGACTGTCGCTCGTCCGAGTGTTTGATGTGAACGCGCAGTTACCAGACCTCGGACAAGGCTTGTTTTGAAAGTAACAGCGGAACTACGAATAATATCGATTATTAAAGGTCCCAAATTGTAACAGTTACCAGGCTATCATCGGAGAATTCTGGGTGCGGGCAAAGATCACACAGAACTTGGGGCGAGTCAACTACTAAATAGTACTAAATGCGGCATCGATATTTCTGGAAATAGTGCTCCGAGCTCCTACTGACAAAAAGTTCGACGGGTGCTTCCCGCGATAAAGGAGAAGGCAGAGCAAGTTTTTAGAAAGATCCGGCACAACAGCAGACTGGGACAAAAAATCGGGATACACGCGATCGAAATCGGGAAAATCGGGAGGATTGAGATTTGGGGCAAAAAATCGGGATATCCCGACTAAATCGGGATATCCCGACTAAATCGGGATATCCCGACTAAATCGGGATGAGTGGCAGGTCTGCTGATTCATTTTGCCAAAGCGAGTCTTTTTTCGTTTTTGGTGTTTCTGGTGTAAAACTAGGTACCTGTTTCAATACTAGGTACCTAGTTTTGGACTCGTTTTGTTTTTTTCTGATTTTTTAAGTACTTAGTATCTATTTATTTGATTTTTCCAACAAGGGGGCACATAGCTCGGATGACCAGAGCTGTGCCAGGGCTACCCCAGAGCTAAACTCTTCATGAGAGTGTACAAGACCCTCCCGTCAAGATTTGACCCAGGGCTTGAAGGGGTTTCAGCTCCCAACCGATTGAGTGGCATGGACCGTGCCACCCTCCCGTCTAAGAGGAAAACCTGGGCAAAGAGGTGTGTTGGTGAGGGAAAGTCCGCCGACTGATCTCACCTCAACCTCCAGGAACCCGCTTCCCCTCCGCACGGGTCGCACCTCACGGTCAACGAGGCGCCCACTCTGTGGGATGGGTGACCTTTAGTTTTTTCTCCACATGAGGTCAGTGGTGGAAGAAGAGATAGAAGAAGAAAGAAAGAGAAGAGGAAGATACACCAAAGTCAGTGTCGCATCCGAATCCCAAAGGGTTGGGGTTCGTGTGCGACACCTCGTCATTGAAGGGGTTACACCTCCTAAAGACGAGGTAGTGGGTCTATTTATATCCCCCCGACTCACAGGGGGTGTTTTTGGTACTGATATTGGTACAAGACGATAAAAAATCACTCAAAGATAACATGAAATCGACAAAATCTACAACATGTTTTACTTCTAATGGTCATATCAAGACAAATCATACTTCAATCTCTCTATTTTTCTTCCCAGTTTATTATTGTTAAAGAATAAGTCCACAAAACAATGAACCATTTCCAAATTTAAAGAGTATTCTTAAGATTCTAAAACACACTTTTTGGTGTTTTCTCCTCGTAAACAAAAGGATACCGTTAAAAAACCCCCAATAAATGACTAAAAACCCAGCCCAAATGCTTGTTTTATGAAAGTAGTGTACACATGTTCATGTCACTTAACAGCATCTCGGATAAGAGCAACCTCCGCAGAGCAGCACCCCTAGCTTATGCAATGGAATTTTCCAATGTAAATGAGTGCTTCCAGCAGCTGCCAGGGACAGCGCCCCGGTGAGGTTTCAGGAGCGAAGAAATTGAAATTTAGTGCCTTTAGAGGGTTGAAAATGGAATTTGGGAGCCTTTTGAAGAAATTGCCTACAACCATAACATTTATTTTCTCATCAACATTTTGTCCTGTTTGATTTCTTCACCTGAGTGTAGAGATCTACATGTCTTTCCATTGCCGGCAATGTTTAAAAGCAGGTTCCCCTTTCATTGCTACTATAATTCAATTAATTTGTCGTCGCACCATTGATAGAAGGCAAACCTGGGAATAATGAATAGATATGTACCTTCACAATACAGTTGCCCAGTGTATACCCTTATTTCTCCTCAATTTTCATACCTGAATGTCGCCTGTCACAACCTCGGAACACCACTTCAAATTATTCTTGATTTTAATAGTCTTAGCCTTTCATCGCTGCCCTTATATCACGTTCATGTGCCGTAGAATCTTCGCATTGATAACTAAAAATTTCTCTAGATCTAAGTTTCTGACAGTAAATTTTTATCTAAGATCACAAGTCAATTTACTTGACCAACGCACAGATTTTCCAGCCGCGGCAACAATCCGAAGATAGACGGAAGGAATGAGTGAATGATAGAAAGGAGGAAATTGGCACCAAAAGGTTCGCCAGATTTTGATCCACTGGTTAAAAATGTACTGCCGACCAACCCGCAATGAATGCACAGGGCACAGCGGAATAATGGCCGATGGCAGGAGCAGGTTTCTATAACATCTTATTGCCGAGAGAATTACCGTAAATATCCGTAACTTATACAAAAAGGCAAGTACGGATCTTTTGCTACGGAATTTCAGCAGTCCTACGCTGTCGCAGTTTTTTACGGAGGGAGTTGATAATGATTGGGGAACATGTACGGAACTGGCAGAAAGTACGGATTTTCATAAAAACACGGAAGAGTGGAAGCACTGTAAATAACCCCCTTTAACAGCAACATTTTTCCTCTAACAGCGACCTCTGTAACTATAAATTGCCTCACAAACAATTTTTTTGACTATCACAAACTAAATATTGACACTGGCCTATAATTACAGGGTGTATGCATCGCTCTTCTCTAATTTACCTTTAGACAACATCTATTCCGGCAAAAAAATTCACTACACGAAGTATAGAATCTCAGTTCACGTTCTTCTCAAGCACCACCTCCTTTCAAAAGTCTCCAGGCTGGGGAGAAAAGTCTTGGCTACTGTGCATAGCTGCATAACATTACTGCCCTGTGATCGGGCATCAGTTTACTAGAAGGGACAAGCTCTAGTAGAATCTCTGCCATTATGCTGCCTATGTTCTCAATTTTCCAACACAACAACATCCCCACATCTTGCGATTAGGACCTCTCTTTCTCTCCTCTGTGTGTGTGTATGTATAGTATAAGGTTTTACGGCGCTCGCAACTGCTAAGGTCATATGAGCGCGCGAAACACAAGTTGTTCACCTCTGCGAAAGTTCACTTCACCAATGGCTAACTAATTTACTTTAAAATGCTAAAAAGTTAAAATATTCAAATTCAGTGTAAATACATTTGTGATCTAAAACAACTTTTAAGTAACAATAAAAATTTTAAATAATATCAAATTCACTCTACAACTCGCCATAAAGGCCAATGGCCTTTATAAAATTTAAAATTACCCACCAAAATGCAAAGTGTCATGGCCGGTCAAAAAAGTGTACGGGGCGTCCAGCAGCCGATTCATGCTGCCGCAAATATGTTCACTAAACTGACAAAACTCGCATCCATGGAGGAGCGGTTAGGTGCTTTGCTATCACACACAAGACACCTGAGGTCGATTCCAAAGTGGGGTGAATTCTTATCAAGATTTTGGACTTTCTGCTAGGACATTGTATCCCTCTCAGCCCTGGTTGGTCGCCCGCCTCAAATATGTTCTAAATTATGTAGATGGGAGCGTAAAAAACACCATTAAAAAAAAACAGACCTGCCTAATCCTAGCATAAAATATTGCTGAAGACATCATATAAAGCGTGATAGGTTTAAGAATCCAGAATGATGTCCCTCCTTTAGATGGATTTCCCAACAGTACCTTGCTTGAACCTTTTTGAGATTCAGGAACATGCAGACCAGGAATGTAGGTGGTTTGGCCTGTGGTTTTCCCTTTGGAGCCTCCTCTCTGCTCCAAAATCTGGGATGTGACTGCAAGAGAAGATAACATAATAGAAATGACTAGATGTTTCACACATTAAATGACATAATCCATATTATTTACGAGGTGGACAGCGATATGCAAACTTTAACTCTATGCAATTGTACCTCTGAATACATACACAAAGCCAATCATGACATAGATAGCACGAGTGTCAAACACTGAGGGCAGAAGCACCGAAAACTTAAGACATGCTGATGATACAACCCTTCAAGCTGGGGGACACATGGGAAACTCTTTTGGCCAGAAAGTTCAGTCTGAATTTTTTTTTTTTTTTTAAAATTTAGTAGAGGGTTTAACGCGCTTGCAACTGCATAAGGTCATATGAGCGCCAAGGGGTGGGTGTCAACAGACAAGTCTTTACAGGGAATCAGACTTACTCTGCTCACCTCTCTAACTTCAACAGCACAAGGTCTGCCTCCACTATCAAGGCACCCGGAAATAGCAGGTTACAAGAGTGTGACGAACATACAAAAGAAGTAGAGGAAATGACAATAGTAAGGATTAGGAAAGAAAAAGCAACAGTTCCCAGTTGTAGATCAGGCACAGTTATGAGCGTGACAGGATGAATCAGCCCATTTACAATTCTACTGTGCTTGAACAAGAAATGTCCCCCCTTTGGGAATGGCCACTACAGTAAATGGCACTGCCCTGAATTCTTTGTGGACATACAGTATTGCACCCAGTGAGGTGCATACCACAACAATTCATGTTTCCCTTCATAACCAGTAGAAAAGTACCCATTTGAAGCAGGGTAAAGTGAGGTACATTGGGCAGAGCACCTTTCCTTGGGTCCTAAAGGACACAACAACATGCCAGGCTTAGTCTTACAATTGCCATTCTAGAGTTCTACCATCATCATAGGGCATTTCTACTTACTGTAACAAGAAGACAAAATGCATTGTTGCAAACACTCCCATCTCTTCTTTTCTAAGAAATACTGTCTTTCTCAATTCTTTTACTTCTTTTTCCTCCCTCTTCCCCCACTCATGGGACATTTTTAACTAAAGACAAACTAAAGCAACTTTTGTCACAGGCAGTAAGAATAAGACAAAAGATTCATGTTCAACTGTTGACACACTCGATTATGTAAGCCATTGCCATGGAAACAGCGGCCATCTCAAAAATTGGATAGAAATTAGTAGGTATTTTTTACTTTCCACCATTTCTGGTTTATAACTTTTTTAAATTCTATAACATGCAAAATGTTACAAATAAATAGGTGCTTGCAGTTGGCTATTTTTTTATTTTTTATATTATACTTGGAAAGTATCCAAAATTGTTCTCAAAGTTGGGGATATGGAATTCGATCTTTAAAAAATATTTTTGGCATGAAAAAAAAATGTGTTAAAAAAACTCTAAAGCAAAATATAAAAAGCTAACCAGCCCACTACAAGTACAAACCCTTTCTCTAACTACATGCCAAACCTCAGGTCTCTATGTTGGGGGAAAAAAATGGTGGAGAAAACAAATGGCATACGTTAGCAATAAGTGGTAAAAAAAGTGCATTTTGAGAAAAACAAGGTTAAACATCGTACATGTCAGTACATAACATAGAACCAAATAAAATTAAATTCTGTTAATGTCAATCACTCCACGACTAGTGTCAATAATATCTAGACTGAATGAGGGATCGGAAAATACCAAAAGTAAAAAATGCTCAAAGTGAGTGGAAATCAGTCCCCGAGACCCTAGACCTGACCCGCGAGCCCCCTTAAGGCCAGTAGACATTAGATTCTTCAACTCAACAGGCATCCTATTTCAGCATAAGGTTTAAAGCCCAGGTTACACGCAACAATACATTGTACAAAAACTGGATGACCTATCGACCATGAGACAAATCGTCAGGTGTAACCACAAAATTGTACAAAGTTTGGACGATGCCTTGGAGACTCGGTCGCAAAATCAAGCGCTGCTTGATATTTTCCTTGCAATCTTGGTCAGATTTGGGGGAGATGCGCTGTGACGTCATCATCATTGCCTTTCTCACCCTGGATCAGGATATCGGCCAAGAACAAAAATTTTCCACCTTTCCCTATCCTAGGCTAGATGTCACTCCATGTCTTCCCACTTTTCTCTACATCCCTTTCCGTGACTCTTCTCCAGGTTCCACGTGGCCATCCCCTTGATCTTTTACCCTGTGGGTTCCAATCTAACACTTTCCTTGTTATGCAGCTGCTTGACTTCCTGAAAGTGTGTCCAATCCACCGCCTACGCTGTGACGTAGAATCACTTTAAAATTTGCCACCATGCAGGATTAAACTTAAGGCTCAACATTTTTTAAATAATTATCGCAGGTAAAAACTGATTTCATATTCGGAATCAGCGTCTCAAAATAAACAAAGTTGTTCACAGGGAACCTGATTTGATGCGTTATTATGCATATTTTAGCAATTTTATTATTTAGTTGATCGTCAATAGTGAAGTTGTGAATCAAGGTCACCCAGTGCGTTGCACATCTGCAGTCAAGTCAATGACTAGGAATCTCCCTGATCGAAAGAAAACTGGATGATAGATTGGAACGTCTTTAGTTTTAGTAGAGTTTTTACAGCGCTCGCAACTGCATAAGGTCATATGTCAACAGAGAAATCCATACAGGGAATCAGGCTTACTCTGCTCACCTCTCAAGCTTCAACAGCACAAAGTCTGCTTTGACTACCAAGGCACCCCGGAAAAAGCGGGTCACAAGAGAGTGACAAACATACAAAAGAAATTGAGGAAAATGACAATAGTAAGGATTAGGAAAGAAAAAGCAGCAGTTCCGCATATGCAGTTCAGGCACAGTTAGTTATGAGCATGATATTGATTAGCAATGACAACGAAAAACCTTTTTTCGCCAGAAAGTGTTTGCAATTAGGTGCATTTTGTAGCTTTATCTTCACAGAGCATGGAACTTTTTGAATTTTTGAAATCCATCAATAAACAAAAAAGTTACAGATTTTTTAATCAATTAATTTCTGGTACACTTTTATATAATGAAAAAAACCCAAAATATGGGACGTTCTTTGGTGAGTTTTGAGACAATATTCGTCATAACTCACTCATTTCTCGGAGTATTTAAAAGAAACTTGGCAACCCAGTACATTTTCTAGTGCAGAATCTAATCCTGCTTTCAGATTTTTCATAGCTATCCTATTTTTTGAGTTATGAAGACGTTTATAGGTAAAAATGTGGCGGTTTTCGGTGCGTTTTGAGACAATATTTGTCATAGCTCGCCTATTTCTTGGAATATGTAAATGAAACTTGGCAGTCTAGTACAATTTTTAATGCAGAATCTAGTCATGCAGTCAGATTTTTAATATCTTCTTACTTTTTGAGTTGTAAAGACATTAACAGGTAAAAAAGTGGCGTTCTTTACAGATTTACAAAGATTATCAGTCATATGTTCTCCCAAAATCATGATACTTGAATGAAACTTGGCAACATAAAAGGTTCCTCCTTGCCAAGCAATGCTCTGGATCAATTTGTCACAAAAATGTAAGTAGAGAGCTACTAATAAATCCAGTTCTGTACTAGTAAAAGCATGCATACTTTGTTATAGAAAATAAGATCGTCTCTGTGTATATTCCATTGTTGGACAATGTCCTATTGTGTGGTAGGTTAAGATGCGTTCAGATAATATAGTTTACAAGTCATGGGAATATTTCGCATGTGTAGGCTACAAGTCATACAATAAATGTAACATATTTACACCCCCCACCCCACCCACCCCCCTTCTCTCTCTCTCTCTCTCTCTCTCTCTCTCTCTCTCTCTCTCTCTCTCTCTCTCTCTCTCTCTCTCTCTCTCTCTCTCACGCACACACACACACACACACATGCACGCGCGCGCACTCACGCGTGAACGACAACAATATATAAACGGGACTATCTTCCCAGACTGGATTAAATAAGTATCATACTCTTTGATAACAATCTTAATGCCTCACTTTTCCAAACAGAGCACACAGGACGAGTCCAAGTGTGTGCCTTCCCAAGAGGGGGGAATAGGCTTTCATAACGCAAACACAATGCCATACCACTTCTCAAGATGTTTGCTTTTCTGTTTCTATTCTTCTGTCATGCAATCAAGCAAATAAAAATGACTACATCTATTGTATTGTGACTAAAATGCAACAAAAGCGCAAGTTATCAAGGCCCCCGTTTAGTTTTCAAGTATCCTTCCCCCCATTTCCGGTTCACATAAGCGGGGCCTCGTTTGTAGTGCCCGAGGCGACCGATGGCTGATGACGTCACTCAGTGGAAAACCGCTAAACACAGAAGCTTAAAATTTTAAGGGAATAAAGAAAAATGGTGTACAACGTATCAGTCAGTTTGACAAATCACAGCTCCGAAAAATCTTCAAAGCGCACCACATCACCACTTTCGCAAACGTTTTCGACTGCTTCTAGGATGGGTACAATGTTGTCAAACTGCATACTACGAGATTGACCTCTTTTCTGATTGGCTGCCAAGCTTCATTCATATCCATTCACGAGAAGTGGCGTAAGAGCGAGTTGAAGACAACAACCTTTGCGTTAGTGCGTCCCACGAAACACCCCCGCTGCAGGGGCCAAAAATCGGCAGAACAAAACGCGCTCGGTGGGCATTGCTACATTGATCAATCAGCCCATTTACAATTCTACTAAACATAAGAACATGTTAATGCTCCCCCTTTGGGAATGACCTAAACACACTTCAGTCAGTAGCACCGCCACATGGGGTTTTGGAACGTCTAAACAGACAACACAGCTCCATAAAATGGACAGTTCTCCCATGCGATGAATCTGACACATTTTATCGTTACGTGTAACCGGGCCATAACACTTGTTCTACTCTAATAAGGGGTCGCCTGGCCTCAAAATAACCCATACTGTCTGGAAGGGCAACTGATTTTGTTTGAGTAACGAGAATAACTTCATCCCAGTAACAATCATTTAATGTAGGAAAAGAGTGAGAAAGGCTGACAAAAACAGGAGGATAAAAAAGAAAAAAGACCAACCAGTAATGCCTTTCAACCACTAACCTAGTAAGGCATTTACTCTAAAATCATTTTTTGTTTGATAAAAACCTTATCACTTACAAATGCCTTCTTTTTTCGCTTCCCTGAGAAAACCACTGATGCTGAACTCTGCGTTCCTGTCTTTTCCCCACAGCAAAACCTCGACATGGTTGTGGGCAAACGTGCAATTGGCCTCCCCGATGCGACATGGCAAATTCTGCTGGAACTGCAGGCACATTTTGTACTTGATTACATTGGGCATCCCTTCGTGCACTATTCTGGGGCGGACTTTGAGCCAGTTTTGGTTTGAGTTGTCCTTGGATCTCACCAGGAGCACATCGTGTCTACACGGGTGTGACAACCATTCTCTGTACCTGTAGCCTGGGGGAAGAGTTTGTCGGGAGTAATAAAAAGCACATCAATATAATAACAGCCATTCAGGGCTCAGAAAAAGCAAAACGGACGGGGAAAAAAGTGAAGTAGTAAAAAAAACCAAAAAAAACAAAGGCCTTATGAGTGGCATTCCAATTTTCCACTGGTGTGCCCTAGCATATAAATTTTAGATTGAAAATTCCAAAATTTACTTGGGCAGGTGGAAATGCTCCTGGGAATTTACTTTGGTTTGAAAAGCGTTCACTAGTTTTTGGATTTCCAAATAGATTCTCAAGGTAGACCAAAAGGTGACAGTGGAAGTTAACAAGTACAGAATGCCAGGGCTGGAAGGACTGTGAGAACATAGGACGCAATGGTGCTGAAAATCTGGCATTCACTGCATCATGAACTAAGTACTGATTTTTTAAATGCTTCATCACAGAACCAGTTTTAATCACCCATGTTTCCATACAGTGACAAGCTATCGTGATGTATAGCATCCAACATAGTGCACAGACAGCCCTCTAATCATAGAACTTGGATTTTTACATCCTATCCTCCAGTATTGCGTCAAGCAGTCCAAGTTCAAATGCATCTAAAGAAGATTTGACTTTTTTTTCTCCAGCACAGGAACCAACAAAATCTACAGGGGGTTTCGGAAATTGAAATTGTCAGAACTACACAACACCACTTCCACTTAATTTTGAATCAATTTTTGCACAAAGGCCTTATATCCCACTGCCATAGAATCCTCACACTGAAAACAGAGACAACTACGGATACTTTTCTACTACGGAATACCAATATAGGCCAATACTCTCTCTCTCTTTTTAACTGATGTCGTTGATATGATAATGCAACAAATACAGAACTTTCAGAATGTACAGATTTCCATAAAAACAGAGAAGATAGGGAGCACAATAGAACATGTTATTTTTTTCTCTCTTTTACTCTCAGCGACAATCGCAAATCCGGTAGTTTTGACACTGTTATTGGTATGGCAATAGAAAAGGTCTAGAATCGGTAACTGCAGGTATGTATCATAATAAATAATTGGTGAATTTCAATATTACCTCCTTTTCCTTCACTTTCCTTGACAAAGCAAGTTTGACAAGCCAGACAAAAGTCGTACTTATCACTGAGAGGCCAAACAATGTTTGTAGATGGCTTCAGACCTGGGCTCACTGACTGCTTTGGCCGAGATGTGCCTACTACAGAAAGGAGAGAGAACTAAATGACAATGCATACAAATCAGTCACAAACCATATGATACAAGGGCACTGCACTATGAAATGAAGGTCTTACAGTCCATTGCTGCCTGAGCAGGGGTACAAGAAGTCTCATCTTAGAACCTATTTCAACAAAACTTTGACAAATAAAATTCAATGTATGCAACATCAAAGTGGTGGATATTATTATAGAAAATCAGCCCACATGTCTGGGAAATATCAAGTTTTAAAAATTTCAAACCAAACTGAGCAAAATGATAAAACTTTACAACTTCTTAAAAATCATATTTCAACCATAATGTATAATATTATATTATGTGCATGTTAAAGAACAAATCTATCACATTACCAAATAAATCAAGGGAAAGTGGTGGCTGTTCAAATTATATGCTCCAAGTGATGACCATTTCTTTCCATACAAGCTCATTATTTCGCTGGTGGAGTGATGAAACCTCGTAACCCTCAATTTTTTAGAAATTCGTTTTTTTGGCTTAATGTCTTCTCCCAGTCCTTCTTCACAATGTGTCAAAAGCACTAGCTCATATTAGTAAGAGAAAGTATGAAAAATACTTAATAAGAAAACCTCGTATGTTTGCCCCCATGATATCCTGGCGTGATGAAACCTTGCAACCCTCACCTGGTGCGCCGATCTGCTTTTGCGTGGTTTCATCACTCCCGGTTTGAGAGAGCGGCGTGCTTATACGAGGTTTTGGACAAGTCTTCTATATGAACCGGCTTAATTGAAGCGCTCATAACTGACATTGTCTGGTGCATTTAATGTATCTGACAGAATAAAGAAATATTTCATTCCTTCATTCATCCATACGTTCATTCATTCTTTTATTCATTCACTTTATTTCAGTCAGTTCAGAAGTTCAAATATGGTCATAAGTGAAGTACTTACATTGTGTAAATCTATTAAAAATCCTTCATAAGGATGACTAACTTGCTGATAATCAAGATGTTCTGATTGAGCACAAACGTAGTTAACATTCAAGTTAAGGCAACAGTCACACCTTGAAATGACAGGTGACGGTAGACCTTACTTAGACTAGGAGACAGATCTGTGCACTCTCCAGATGTCAACAGGCCATTCTGTTTATCAAAGAGAGGGTAAGGTTTTGCATCTTCTCAGACTATGAATCCGCTGTGTAGTCGAATCCTCCAGTTGTGGTTGAGACTGAGTAGTATTGAACTTAACCATGGTCTTGGTGACTCTGAAGTCTGTAGAGGACATTGTGACAAATTTGTGCCTCAACAACACAAGTAATACGGACATTTCCGAATCTGTATTGAATATCTCCTTCTAACTGTGCTCATCTCCTAGATCTTTATACCCTACAAAGGCTGGTTCGGAAACCACTGAGCAGACCACGTTCATTGACTTGACCCCAGTCACCATGTCGCAGTCCTTTCCAGGGATGTCCCTGATATGTGGAGACAAGGAAGTATCAGCATCATCCAAGACTGAGTCTGCACCAACAATAGTGTCGCCTGGAATCATACCCCAAACCATACTGACGTTTCACCAGGCAGCTGTAAGTCAGATGCTGAATTATTACCTTCGAGATCACAGCAACACAATCTGTAGACCATATTCAGGCACCTTAGCCACTTTTCCTAAAGCCTGATCCCGAGAGACAGCTCATTTGTTAGGCCAGCATAAATGATGCTCCACAGAGGAAAAGAAAAGATTTTAAGGAGTGGCAACAAATAAGCGAAAAGCCATCCGTGGATCGGGACAGGATCGGAATACATAATGGTTCAATGAAAAGCCCAGCTAAGTTATCGAAACCAATCTGTGATTGCAAGAGCTGGACTCTGAAATATAAAGGGCTCTCTGAAGCTGATAGACTTTCTAATTTTGATTTAGTGTGGTCCCTCTCATGGGATGACTAGTGGACCTCGGAGGAGGTATTCAGAGACTAACCAGAGAAGGAATACCCTCAATAAACACTTTTAAAAGGTGGCCATAAGGTGCCAGTGTGTTAAAAGGTGTTCCTGAATTGAACTGGGTTGGATGAATGATTTGCAAGAAACATTTAGAACCAATAATTATCAAAGTAACTCAGATATCTACAAAATATATGCGCAAGTCAGCCAAGACCACGGGAGGCGGCCTCTCAAAAGACCCGCCCTCGATGAAGCTTTCAAGCAGAAAAACGTGTCGCTGTTCCTGTCAAAGATAGATATGTACCACCTTTGCATCAGTCGAGAAGTTGACAAAGTGCTGGAGGATCTTTGGAATGCTCACATTCTAGAAAAGGAGGCAGCGCGCAAAGAAAAGGAACGAGATAAATCAGAAGCCATCAAATCTCTCGCCAGTAATGAACCTAAAACGGCCGTACTTTCAATGGATCTTCAGCATCAGCCTTATATTACAAAACAAAACTCGCCGTTCATAACTTTACGCAATTGGATGCTGCAACACGCCAGACTACTTGTTACGTTTGTGATGAAGCAGAATGGGGACTTAAGACAAATGAGTTTACTTCATGTCTATTGGATTTCCTGAAAGAAAAGCTGGACCTCCAGAAAACCATCATCGACAGCGACAACTGTGGTTACCAATACAGAAATGTCACACTGGCCAATGTTTCTCTCAGCCTGTTTTCAACAACACAAGGAAGCACAATTGAACAAAAACATTTTATCAAAGGACACACAAATGGAAATTAACAGTGTGAACTCAACTATTAAGAGATCGCTTCGAAAAACACGCATCGAGGTCCTCCAAGACTACCTCCATTTCTTCAGGATGGCAAGAGCAAAACAAGAAACTTATCAAACAAATAGTTGGATCACACATTCTTCAAGGAATATTCTAAGTGTGGAAGCTACGACAAGTCTATAAGTATAAGACTAGGTAGAAAAATGGGTGATCCTGTTGTCACCGACATCAGGTGTTTGAAGTACACCCCAAACATGAACATCCAGTTCAAGCCGCACCTCAGTGATGAATGGGCTGACGTTCCGAAGGCAGGACACAGAAACATATTTATAAGGTCCACCCTACCTCACAACTCTACACAAAACGTTTTAAGTTCCAGCACTTCAAATACAATCACCTAGAGGTGCTTAAATCTGTTATTGCCAATATGCATCGTCACTTTATGACAATTACTACCATTAACATTTATGGCTGTTCATTATGATTTAACATCTGTAGTGCAAACAGAGACCACATGGCAGAGATTTATAATTCATTTGTGCTCTTTAGTAAAACTGGAAGTAACCAGATCTAATCTTGGCAAATTATAGTGAAACAAATTGCATTCATTGCAATCCGTTTGAGGATTCAAACATAAATTCTGCTGGTAACACATTTTTATTTGACTTCAGTTGGCCGGGAATCAAACTCCAAACTAATTGGTCTTGAAAAAACATCTTTATCACTTTGTGGCGTTTCAAACAACAGACGCATATTGCAACCAAAATGAGCAGAGAGAAAACTCGCAACCCCCAAACTCTGTCCTGATGAAACCTCGTAACCCACTCGCCAGCTGACTACGAGGTTTCATCACGACAAAAATGTTGTAATGAAACCTCGCATCCCACAGCGTAACCACATAAACTATAGAAAAGTTATTTTTATGTACTAACCACGTTTCTAAGGTGTTTTCATTTATCTGTAGAAGCTTTGGTTCATATTGATCATTCTATTCAAGAGTAAATCAGTTTTTTGTCTCTCCTGTAAAATTTTCCTTTCTGGGGTTACGAGGTTTCATCACTCCACCAGCGATATGTTGCTGGAAATTATGGTGAACTCTATGGCTTGTTTCTGAATTGATTCTTAGGACCTCCTGTGCAATATTGAAATTCCAATTGTTGAAGTTTTAATGGGTTCTTTCCGTAGAATCTTATCTTTTCTTCTTCTTCGTGTTCCCCATCTAGATCTCAAGGGTACTTGACTTCTGGTTCAACCTTCAGTGCAAATGGTTTTTACATAGGCAACCATTTTTCCTACTTACAAGGACCCCTTGCCTTCAGGTAGCCACATTCTGATGTTGAAGGTACTTTATATGCTTTTATACTAGCGTATTTTACAGTTTTGGTAGGAATTAACTTTGAATTTTGCCCAGGTGGCCACCAAAGCCTACTCTTATAAATTTTACAACCACCAAGGGATCTTTAACCTGCGCAACTTGCTCCAGAAAGTGGAGATAAAAGTAGATCACATAACATGACTAAAGAACAGGAAAGGAGGTGAAAGGAAAAAAATTTTAAGCAGAAAATTTTGTCGCTGCTGTCATGTTCCAAACCCACGGCCAATTGAATTAGAGTCAAACACTGTATCTCTAGACCATGAGTACCCCACGACTCTGTCGTTCAAAAACAAAAACCTTGAGGGAGATCACAAAGACAGTTCACGTCAGAATGCTGGCCATTTATTTAATAGATTTCAGCTTATAAGGTTTTCCTCAACATTTTGTTGCAACCATGCAAATGCCACGCTTGATGTGTGTGGGGTGTGGCCCCGATCCTGATGGAACCAGGCCTGAACAACATCATAACCCCATCCCCACTTCTCAAACTTCTTCAAAACACCTGGGGCATATGATTTATATAGCCAAAATCTTCCTTAATTTTTGTTTTGTTTTGGCAATGTCAGTTTTAAATAAATTTGTTATTTAATGAACAACTACAGTGCTACATTAGCGTTGCTTTTTTAAAAATGTAAAGATTTGTTTTTCGCAATTTTGGTAGCAATTTTTAAAATTTGCATTTCTCCATGTCAGTCGAGCTTTTTCGTATGAAAAAAAATGACAGAATTATTGCCCTTTAAATGGGTACACTTGTTTTTTTAGACACCCTGTATTATCATCATCAATATTATCACTGTTACATTATTACAGTTTCATGTCTTAATATCATAATTATCATGATGATTATTAGTAGTAGCAGTAACAAAGTTGTTGTGTTTTTTTAAAGTAGAGGGTTTTACAGTGCTTGCAACTGCATAAGGTCATATGAACGCCAAGGGGTGGGTGTCAACAGAGAATTCTTTACAGGGAATCAGACTTACTCTGCTCACCTCTCTAGCTTCAACAGCACAAGGTCTGCTTCAACTATCAAGGCACCCCAAAAATAGCGGGTCACAAGAGTGTGACAAACATACAAAAGAAGTAGAGGAAAATGACAATAGTAAGAATTAGGAAAGAAAAAGCAGCAGTTCCCTGTTGCAGATCAGGCACAGTTATGAGCGTGACATGATGAATCAGCCCATTTACAAATCTACTGTGCTTGAATGAGAAATGTTCCCCCTTTGGGAATGGCCTAAAGACACTACAGTCAGTGGCACTGCCCCGGGGGGCGGTTTTCGTAAAGTATTATGACTTTTCCTTTGACTATTATCATTATCATTGTAGCTATATGAGCTGCGTCGCATGCATTTATCATGAAAGACTCACCAAGTGAAAATTCATCCAGCCCCATGCTCGTGCTACCACCAAATGCCTGGCAAAGAATAATAGACATCAGTGCATAAGACCATGGTCGCCAAAAACAAAAAAGCATCCATAAGAATATTAACTCAGAAATTGTGTATAAACAGAAACATATTTTCACAAAAACTTATTTTTCTGACTTTTATGTCCTTTGAAAATCCCATTGCACTCAAATAAAGAACAAAATCATAAAAAGAGAGGAAGCTTCAAATATGCTAAAATAGTTCACCTTCTGATAGGTTTCCTCGGGGCCACACACACATAACAATAAATAATAATACAGTGGGGCACATATTACACAAACATAAACTGGAAATGACAGATAGCTAGTACAATTTGCCATTCCTCGACAGATATCATCAATTTTTGTTGTTGTCGGTAAACCTGAATTATGGACGCTACAAACACACTTGTCGATCCCAAACATGTTTGAGCTATCCGTGCCCAACTGTAGTTACATTTATTTTGGCATATTTCCACGCTCTACCGAAAGCTCTCTGCGCTTTTCAACTATAGTACATAACAGACCACACTCCAACCACAAACCAATCAAAACATCTCTCACATTTTTCCTCATTGGCTTGGCTTCCTTCTTCCCATTCCCGTTCATAGGAGAGAACGGCCGCACAGCCGGTTCTTTCTTGCTGGTCGGTGGAGGAGTAACCCTTTTATTCTGCTGAATGTGGCTCATCCTCGCTGCAAACTCTTTGTCATTAGCCCCATCACTGTCTGGGTCCGAGTCTTGGTCCGAATCTTCTGGGGGATCCCGCTTCTTTGCCTGTTCAGCATTTGCCTGACCTCTGCTGGAGGCTGAGGCAGCACTAGCTGTTTGAGCAGAGCTCCCATTTCCTGGGGGAGGGGGGACAGACAAACCAATGAAAGATAAATAAGGAGATGAGTACGAGGGGCATACCAAAATTTTTTACCTGACCACGAAGGAATACAGGTAGATGTCTGAAATTTGGGGTGAAAGCCAATAATCATCTTCCTAGAATGCACGTCAATTTTGGGAAATTTCTAATTACTGGTTTTAACACCAGCGCACTGTGAGAGAATGGGAGTATGTTGTTCTCCAGTTTCAACATACAAATGAAGAAAATTGAGCACAGGGCAGTAATGAAGTTTTTGTTCTTGCAAGGCAAGCAACAGCAGGATATTTTTACGAATATGCATGCCGCATATGGAACTGATTGCCCATCCTATGCTGTGATGAAATTTAGGTGTAAAAAATTCAAATGAAGATTCGTGGGCATTAGAGGGATGATTTCCTGACAGAGAGAGGTCCTCTATTATTAAGGTTTTTTCAAGGTCATACACTGATGGCAAAAATGAGTAACTGTGGGAGGCGACTACATAGAGAAAGACTAAGCTTTGTGCCAAATTTCAGCTTTGTACCTTTATTCATTCATGGTCAGGTAAAAAACTTTTGGTATGCCCCTCGTAAAAGAAAGAACTAACAAAGGAGGGAACCAGATTATAGAGATTAATAAACGAAAAAAAAATTAAATAAATGAATGAATGAAAAAGAAATGAGACTAATAAATAAGAAGATTGAATGAATCTCTCTCTCTCCCCCTCCATCTCTTCCTCTTTCCTCCTTGTTTCAGTTTTACTGTAGCTGAACACCTCTCAAAAATAACCCTGTTTTGTCTTCTCTTTCTTTTCTTTGTTTCCCCTCCCTCTATCCATCCCTTTAACTTCTGTTCTTTTTTTGTTTTTTCATTTCCTATTTTTCACACCACGTATCATTCTTTAAAAAATGATTTTCCATTTCTTGAAGCCAGGTGTGTTCATATATTCTTATTTTCAGGGGAACAGTCTTTGAGCACAAACCCGTCAAAAGACTGAAGCCGGAGCTTCTAGCAAATATTTTTAGAGTAATTTCTGGGGCTCTGCATGAAATTATTTTCTTCTCATATAACATTTAGATGTGTGGAGACAGACAAAGTAAATTATGCTTGTAAGCATACCAACTCCACCTCCTCAGCCAGGAAAATCTCTAATCATTTTTAAGTGTATTCTTTATGATTTCACTATGTGCTAAAATGGAAACAATGCATTATACATCACAGAACACAATAGGGGCATGGGTCCTTAGTTGTCAGCCATCACTGATTTCTGGATATTTGCATTGTCTCTAAACACATTGTTGTATAGAAACAAGCTTTAAGGCGACACAGAGGCACTTTGATGGACTACTGCATTTGAGAGGACGTCTGGCGTTACCATTTGAAGAATGGGGAAGTAAAAATTTTAAAAACTTGAGGAACCACTGAAGCATAGGAAATCACATGCAACAGAGTTAAAAGAATAAATTAATAAAATTTACAAAAAAGAGAGAGCTTGTGGTCAGAGTGGGAAGAGGGTGGGGGGCATAGCAACAGGCCAAAAAAGAATCGGCTCCTCGACTACACAAGGAAACTCTTGCCTCACCTTTCTATTCACAACATAAGAAACAAACCCTTACAAGAACACTAATCACTCACCTCTCTTCTTTTTCGGCATCTTTTTATGAGAAGTTTCTTTTCTCTGAGGAAGACGAAAAAAAGTAAGTCACAAATGGCTTCCCCTTTGTTACAAATCACATTTGAATTTAAACAAACAAAACACAGGTATTTGGGTTGTTTTTTTCTCTCAGAAGTACCATAAAATGTACACACTGGCAAGCAAATTCAGCCTATTGCATTATAAGTGTGCTGACTCCATCATCAGATCAACTGTTTAACTCTTTTGAATTAATCTTTTTTTTAAAGAAAAAAAGATCAGAAATTAATAAGAAATTGTGTCAGCGGGGTAAAAGGTCAAGGGGTCATTTCTCACTTAAAAAGGAGCCCAATGAAATGATGCATTACACTCGCATCTCTCTTCCAAGACTTACCCTCCTGGAGTCTTTACACAGAACGTACATGACAGGGACTTGACATGAGGAAAGTGAAGGTTATTGACCTTATTTTATTTATATCCAGTCCCCGAAACAAGAAAAATGAGAGACCCCAAATTTTTCTTGCTCACTCTATAAAGCAGGGCAGGGTCAAACAAAGGTAAGCATTTTTAAATTTTTATTTGGAGGGGGGGGGAGAGGGGGCGTCAGCAATGATACATGCGCGGTGGAACAGAAAAACATTTAATTAACTTCCCAAATTCAGAACTCATGTCGAGCTACAATACAATCCTTCAGAGCAATTTCAGTTTTTTATGCTGCTGAGATCATAAGTCATAAGGATTTACATGACATCAGGCGCCTGTCAACCACGCACAATGAATAATGAAAAATTCAACAATGGACTCTACCTTGGCAGTGACAAATGCGTTGGTTCCTGCTAACCATTCACTGTCAGCACTTAGAGTCCCTGAAGATGCTGAACTGTCACCCTTGCCAGCATTGACACTGGTTTTCTCTTTCTTTGCTGTTCGTAAAAGACTTGACAGCTCATCTATTAATGCTTGAAAGTTCTGTCAGAGACAAAATGGAGAAATATGGGCTGAAATTTAACTCTCATGTCATAAGCATGTTACAAAAACAGCCTATGTCAGCCAATGGCAAAGTTGGTCACTTGCTCTAAATACAAAAACAAGAGACTATAAAAGTTGATCATATGATTCAAATAGAAATAAATGACTTAGAAAGTTGATCATTTGGTCTAAATTTTATATTTGTTTATATAGGTGATCAATCGATCTAAATACAAATTAGCCACTAGAAAAATTGAACCAAAATGATAGACATGAGATGAGCAAAAACAGACAAAGCAACAATGCATCAAATCACAAATGAGCATTTATGATTTAATGGACTTGGACTTAGGAGTCTATGTATGTCACTTTACCTACAAAGGAGTCAAACCTTCATAAACAGTAGCTCAAGAACAACTGTGAGACAGTTCGACGGTGTTTAAGTATCAAACATTTCATGATGGCCACTTAAAACCTACCCAGTCCTTAATAATCATAATGGACATCAACAGAAGTGATGCTCGTTCGGCGAGAGGTGGCGACCCATTTGTTTGTTTTACTATGGCGCTCTGTCTTCATCTGACACACTTCGTTTTGTTTTTAACCTTGCACAAAACCATAATCAGAAAAATATAACTATATTATAAAAACAAACAAAAAACCCGAAAAACCTTCCTATCCCCTCTCCCCTTTCAACAGGTAAAAAAGCATTTTTATTTGCCTTCTGGCAATGCTAAGCCTGTGACCACCTCCAGTTGGGACCTGGTCTGTTTTCTTCATTTTGATCAGTACTACATTTTTTTGTTTGGGGGTTGTCTTTTTTGGTAAGTGTTTTACGGCGCTCGCAAATGCATAAGGTCATATGAGCGCGCGAGACACATTAAATATTTGGAAGTGGCTATCATCAACAGGAATGAGAACAGCCTGTGTCTCGCTTTTCTCACCCCAACTCAACCCAACAGGTGTGTTATACAGTTGGCCTATAGCACAGACACACATACACAACAGCACAGAGAATAAGTTGTGCAGTCCTAAACAAGTTTCAGGTTTGGTTTATTTAATGGGCTGGGTGAAGGCCATTTCACACCATGAACAGCAAATAACAGTGAAAAAAACAATTTAATTTTAAAAAATCGAGCTACACTACAGTCATGCAAGAACAAAATGTCAAGAGTAGAACATATTTTTTCCCTGATAGCTAGCGGTACTCATAATTTTATCTCACCAGCCATCAGGCTCTATGGTGAAACTTGAGAACCGCGGTACTGACCACTGGTCAGTTCACTGTTTACCCCCGCGAAAGTCAGACGTGATTTTTAGCTCCACTAGCACTATTTTCATTCACTATCGTGTACTTATATATTCTCTCACGGATATTCTTGGTCATTGGATTTCTACCAGTTTCTAAGATCACTGAGGTCGTAAGTTTTTACAAACTTTTTATTCTTTTATTAATATCACCAAAATTCCAAAATACCATAACATTCTTTGTTATCGGCAAAAAGCCATCAGCAACACTGGGCCTACGGTCTAAACTTTCAGTACCCGATACAATAGAATTAATTCAAGTTGACAATGGCATCTGTCAATGAAATCTCTACTAAGTTTCTTTCCGATATGGAAGATGAGTTAGTACATATTGTTGCTGAAAGCGCTCCGCGCAAGGACGATATGCGTATCACCGTCCTGGAAACCTTATAGGCCAATACAAAAATCATGGAATAAATGAGGAAGGAATTAATCATTTTAAAGCGAAAGAAGAGCAACCAATCGCCATCTTCCTTACAAAGTTCCACCAGCCCCTCACCCTCCCCCCTCCCCGCCCTAAAAGAAGGCGAGGCCTGCGGCAAACGCCAGTGACCACTCCTCGGACACAGAGGAGTGGAAAAGCCATATGCGAACAATCGCCTATGCTGGGAAGGTCTCCTCGAGTAAATTTGATCCATTCGAGGCCGCCATAAAAGAATTCGAATTCGGTCAGGACGAAGAAGATGGGGAAACTTTATCCCTTCCACTGGCGAGATTCGTTGAGAAACGGTTTTGCGACGGGGCAATGGACAAAAAGATAAAATCGAAAGCTGAGTCTAACAAGCGTCCTGGGAACTGTAAAGTGCTTCCAGCACCAATGACAAACCCGAAAATTTGAAGAACACTCCGGTCTCACGCTAAGCGGACAGATCTGTGAATGGCGAACATTCAAAAGAATGTGGCCAAGGCTGCAACTGCCATCGCACCATGTGCGGATAATATTGTGAGCAACTGTGTGGGGAAGGGCAAGGAAATATTGAGTAACCTCACGGACGCAAAGGTCTTACTAGGCCACACTCACAAATCGCTGTCCCAGCAACACAGAGATTTGTAGCGCTATGCCCTTCCTGTTACTTCAGGGCATTCTGCGATTCCACGACGTCATCCAGTACAACTGCCAATGACTGGCTATATGGAGACGACATCAAAACAAGTCTCAAAGAGGCAAGAGAACAGAGGCACCTCACATCATCCCTCCAGGAAGAACAAAAACCCTTTTACCACAACCAGGGTCATTTTAAAAAAAATTTTTTTAGTAGTTTTACGACGCTCGCAACTCAGAAAGCCTAGGCCCTACGCAATTTTAAAGCACTGCTAGAAGTCAGGGGTTAGTCCTTGCCTCGTGCCCACGCCGGGGTGGGGATGAGAATATCAGGTCATGAGCTATTCTCACAAGGGTGATTTTGGGCCACCGAGGGATCTTTTAACTCACTCGCTGCCGGCCCCTTAGCTCAGACCAAGCCGCTGCCTGCCAGCTTTTTTTTACCTTTTTCAAAATCAAGTTACTCTATTTATGTTACAATCATTAAAATTTGCCAGTTTCAGTAGGAGATGTTATGCTTCATAGAACAGAAAAAATTTTGACTCTATGCTTTCTGTTCATGTTTTATAGCTTTTCAATAAATGACAAATTTTGGGGACTGAAATTTTTTTGGGGCCAAACTAGCTACTTTGTTGTTGCTTCTGTCCTAAAATACACACAAAATACATAACTAAACAAAGAAAACTAATTAAATTGATAAGTTTATGATGACTTAGGCTATTATTTCGAGCATCACCGCTTGAATCATTAGTTGTACTAGACCCTAGAACTAGATCTAGTACAAGTAAGTTATTAGTATTAGTACTAGCCTACTGCTGTCGACAAGTGATCTACCTCTTTCTCTCATCTCAAACTCAAACTACCATTATTCCCAATATTTTGAACTTCATCATCTAAATCTGAGTTCATTGATTCATATGGATTCAGAATCTTTAAAATTATGAGCCATTTTCAATTCAAATCTGCATGAGCATCACCTTTGCATTTGGTCGACTTCAGCCGTCCAACGTTCAAAACAAAACCCAGTAATAGGACGAAGGGAACTCCCGTTCCAAAAATAGGCAGAACTTCAAAGGAAATCATTCTAATAAAGTGAAACTGCTCCGAGTCATCAAAGGGATGTTACTCTAGTAATTGAGCTATGCCTTTCCTGCATATGTGTCTGCAATAAGTAGAAATAAAGAGGAAAATACGCGACCCACAGGGGTGCGGTAGTGGTGGTGAGCGGTCGTCGCCTATTGATCGACACAGGTGCGGCAATGGTTGTGAGTGAGTTAACATGCGCAACTTGCACATAGGACCTCCGAGATTTTTCACCCTTGTCCGAGAAGGCTAGGTGTAGATCTTTCCTACCATAAGATCAGGGGTGTGGCTGAAAGACAGCAGTAAGAAGGAGCCAAGGAGAAGCAGTAGGAAGGCTTCAGAAAGAGTCAGGAGCCCAGAAGAGGGGGCAAAGGAGGTGAGGGGGTGGAGGCAGAAAGTGGAGACGAAAGCAGACGACAGAACATTATTAGAGAGCAGTAAAGGATGTGAAAGTAGAAAATTGTAGGGAAGAAAATATTCCATCGCTGTCCGTATTCAAACGCGGGACATATATATATATATAAAACGCCATAAATATCTTTCTTTATTTCAAATTATTGTTAAGATGAGCTAAGCCGGTGGGGAAAAGGTTGCCGAACCTGGACTAGGCAGAAAATATCCAATGAAATGATATGCTGAAACAGTGTGGGTTTTTTTTTTTGAAAAATCAGCATTTTTTAGGTATGAAAACGTAACATTCACCAGGGACAGTTTTCATCCGAAGATTTCTCTAAAAACTGCCTGCTTTTCATTTTCGTAATTATGTGTAAATACTGATCTTAAGTAGAACTTTCAGGGTAACCAACAAATATATGCTTAATACGGCCCATTTGTTCACACAAAAGACATAAAATTAGGTCTTAAACGCTATTCGTCTCGTCCGAAAAATGATAAAAAATAGTAACCCTATCTTGAGTTCAATCGATCGTTTAAAAAGTGTAATTGTTTATTGTAGAACTAGAAATGCGATCACTTTTGTCATTTCATCAACCAAGAACAAAATTACTACACTGATTACGAAATTTTGGCGGTAACTAGTAGCGTCTTTGAATTTTTGTCCCGTTTTAACGATTAAGATCTGCATGTTTACTTCTGCCGGAAGTAGCTCGAAATTTTAGTGCAGTGTTTTTATGTCAAGTGCACTGGTTTCCAATCAACTTGGCTTTCATCTATTCCCCGGCAAGACAACGGTGTCTATAGAAAGTGAATATGAATGACTTCGTCACGCAATTTCTAGCGGTTAACGATTAAGACGTACGTAATGATGAAGACTTGAATTGCTTTAAAATTGCCTTTCTTTTTTATACGACTGCAAAATGTGTGATTCATTGATGAAATCTTAAAGCCCCTTAAGGAGTTTGGATCCTGCCAAAACAAGGATTGTTGGTTTTCATAGTGTTTGTTGTATCGAAATGGAAATTGGACAAAGAGCTTGATTTCTTCATTTTAACGATTTAGCCTTGGTCTTTGTGTTATAATCTTTGTAAAATGAGTAGCTTCTTTAAGAATTTCATTTCAAGGATTTCATGCGTTGATGCCACATATTTCTAGCTTTGGGGATGACAGTTGGGGCAATTAAAGGTGACAACTTGTTATCGTTGTCTGAAACATTGCAAATACAAGGATAAGGCTGCTTGGCTTGGTGTTTCAAATATTTAACATCGAACATCAGTAATTTATCTTTGTAGACAGGCTCCGTCCATGGAAAGCAAGTATATTGATATGTCCTATTCTGGGTAATGTCACACTGTAGACTTGGTGGTGTCGAGGCGTAAACACAGTGAACAAGGCGAAGAGAGAGACGCAAGTGATGTAACGTTGTGTGGGATTTTCTATGTCAATTTTAGTTTCAGTTGAAAATGAACTGAAAAATATTGGCACCTTTTCTCCTGATCGACGTGGTAACTCTAAAGAGAAAAGAAAGAAATAAGTAGGCGAACCCGATTACTTAAATGCGTCATAAGTTTTGGTGAATTTCACCTCTTGAAGAGAAATTTGCCAGACGACCAAAGCAGATGTGCAGATTCAGTTTGAATGAGTCATGATTCTTTTTTCTATCTGCATGAAATGTTAATGGTTAAACTTACCTAACAGACTACTAACTTAAGACATCCCATCTCGACGATTGAGAAAAAAAGAATGAGAGACAAATGGAAAGAGTGTTAAGTACTTAAGAAGAGAATGTTATGGAGAACTGATGGATAGGTAGATCTTGGTCTACAAATTAATTGAAAAGAGGTCAATTTTATAATGTCTTGCTTTGAATAAAAGTAAATACATTGTGTGTTTTGCTTTTATTTTTCATTTTTGTTTTTACAAACAGTTTTCGCAAGCTCTCCTCGTTTTCCCTCTTGTTATAATCACTGAAATTTTGTAGATCTACTAGTGTCAAGCAAGCTATAAATAATATGCTCGTGTGCACACATGTACATTTCAAGCGACAAAAGCGATTGTACATTGGCCGGAATTTCTCCTGGCATCTCCTCGCTTCGGGCCGTTCTTGGTACAGCTGGTAACGTCCGTCTTTCCCTTTGGTTTTATTTTGATTGCTCCGGCCGTGCTGCTTCGCTTTGTCCACGGTGTAGCTTTACCCTTAGTTTTCACCAGAAATTAATATTGGTTTCAACAAGAGGAAAATAAGTTTTTACATTGGTCTTAATGGTTACACAGGACTAAATCATTTTGACAAAAGTCTTGGTAATAAGGGTTGCCCCAATAATATTTAGGGCATAGTAGCTGATTTTATCGTCTTGGACTATGATAAGACTAGCAGAACCATATAAGTAACGAATAACATCGGTTTATATTCACTTTATTCTTATACATTCTAAAACAGAGTTTGTGACTACTTTTTCTGTTGCGAATTATTTTAATAAAATAATACAAAAAGTAATGCAGCATAATCTTATTTTCGACCAAGTAAAGCATGTGTTAATCTCTTTCAATTCCGTTACAAAACTGATTGGTACAATTTTTCATTCACCCTTCCCGCTCCCACATTCTCTTTCTAACTTTACAGTACAATAGGTGCGTGCTCTGCGCTAGAGACCTCTGAATGCATTGCTTTCAAGTACCGAAATTCCAAAAAAGAAAAACACAAAGTTTATTACAATAAAATTTAAGACTGAGCCAACTAAGGAATCCAAGGACCGATTAAAGAAAACAAAGGGTGACATCGATGTGCAATCGTAAAGAGCTGAAGACGTTCGTCTAAGGAAAGAAGGTTGCAAATCACAAGGCAAAGACCGACGAACAAGTCAAGAAATGTAGGAAAAACAAGAAAGAAAACCTCAAATTGCCTACCACTACCACTAGCAAAGTCGCAACACGTAAGTTTGCTGGGCTAGTGATACTAAAGAAAGAAATAGAAAAGCTACGCAAGAGAGGTAACAACATCCTAGTCAGGGCAGAAATAAAGGGCAGACAATGCTTAGGCTAGAGAAAGGTTCCATTAAAAAAGAAAAAAAGGAAAAAGGTGAAGACACAGAGAAAAAGAAAAAAGAGGTTCAATATATTCGAGAAAGTGTCAAACAGACACCCTCATCATGCAAACAAGCTGTCTACAGAAATATGAAAGTCTTTCCAAAAGACAAAGCAGCTCGAAAGCAAACGTTGGAAGATGCACGTCAGAAAACTCTTTATCATGATCAAAACAGCTGCAAAAAGACATATTGGAATTCTTCATCCTTACTGAGTGAAGTTGGACTTTGAAAAGAAGCTGGTAAACATTCCATACACTTGTTTCATGCTCAATGGCAATGTTACGTGTTTTTGAAATCATAAAGAGCTGTTAGGGAAGTAGAGGTCCATACTGTGATGAATTTGCTTCAATCTTCCTGTTCGAGCTACAGACAAGGAACTATTCATCAACAGTGTGCCAAATGGGGTGCTACATAACTCACTAAAAATCGTTGCAGTCCCAAATAATCTTCAATATGATCACCATGCCATGGAAACATTTGTGGGAAGTAAACATCATCATAATGTCACAAGAAATCACAGAAAGATAGAACACTGTTTGCTGCCATGATTAACGATGTATTTTGACAATGTTAGTAGCGATAATGAAGAAGATGTGAATACCTTATTTTGATACTCTACTCTGCTTCTGCTGCTGCTGCTGCTGCTGCTGCTGCTGCTGCTACTAATACTACTACTGCTGCTGCTGCTACTGCTTTCACTATTGGGAAATTTCATGTTTCACTTTGTAACTGGCTCACGATTTTTGTCCCGAAAATGCGAAGTCTCAATAATATGCTCAATGAGTCAATAAGTTGGTGTCTTTTTCTTCTAAAAACATGACAGATAACATCAAAGAAGTATTATAATACATGTTTTAATTCTCAGTAGGTGCGCATATTATTTTTAAGAAACAAATCGTCCTTTTTCTGCACATTCCTTTTTTATATTTTGTCCTGTAACGTTTAAGACTACTATATTTAGTTAATGTTGCTTCCGAAAACACTTATCGATTTTGTTCATATTTGCTGAAACTACAGCATTGAATTACCCGTTTTATAGCAATACCCTTTTAAAGTTCTACTTGAATTAGTATTTTTGTAAATAAAAGTCTAGTTTTCTATTTGAAAAATGATTTTTGCAAGGTAACGTTAAAGACATTATGATTGTTTGATAAGCATTTTCTTCTTTAAGAAATGTTTTGAAATTTGTGTGAACAAAGAATGAATTTAAAGGACATAATGCTACCCCAATCAATTTTTCTTTCTCTCTGTTACATTTCATGTTTTGACCGTATTGTTGCGTCCTTTAACGTTTAAGACCATAGCGCACTAGTCTAAACTTCACTTCCTTTTCCAAAGAAACCAAGCAAGCTTTAGCTTCAGCCGTGTAGGGATCAAAACTAAACATGTCAAAGATGTAGTGAGTACATTTTCAAGTTATTTGGTTGAATTCTAAAATTTGATACCCGTGTTACGGAAAGTTCAAACTTTCAGGAGAATTGCCCATATACATATATAAAAATAAATATATATATATATATATATATATATATATATATTATATATATATATATATATACATATACAGTCAAACCTGTGTAAGACGGCCACCCATTGTCAAGGAGAAAAGTGGCTGTATAAAACAGGTGGCCGTCATAGGCAGGACTGATCAAGACGAAGAAAACAAACCATTCCCTTCTGAAGTCCTAATCGACAGTTGTTGTTTTTGTTGTTGTTGTTGTTGATTTGTATTTTGTTTGTTATTTCTATTTTGTTGCTGACTGTGTGCAAGGGAGACTATAACGCGAAATTTATCAGACGAGGAAGACCGAGTGCCATGTTAAAACAAACACATGGGTCGCCCCCACTTAGAGAACAAGCGACGCTTCTGTTACAAGTTCCTGTTGACGTCCATTGTTACTTTGTTACAGACTGGGTATACAGTGACCACTCATCTCACTTACGATTTGCGTATGAGCTCTGGGCGGGGCCTATGGGTTATGAGGGATCACACGCTTACCTCACCAGCAGCTGAACATTGGTAGCCTACCTATTGGGCAACAGAGGGAGGGGCCTACGCAACATGATCGGTTGGAGGGACTACCTAACAACAACGACAAGTGATTGAATTATGACGGCTCGCCCACAACGCCAGGGGCCAAAGCATGATTTATGACAAAACGTAATGGAGTCACTAAGGTGGCCGTCTTAGACAGGTGTTATTGCTTAGTGTGATAGGGGTTGTGTGTTAAGATTTGGTGGCCGCGGCCGCGTTGGACAGGTGCCCGTTTTACACAGTTAAATTATATAGAAAAAACGCAAGGGGGAAATGGAAAGAGGCCATTTGTGCAGGTGGCCGTCTTATAGAGGTGGCCATCAGGGCAGGTTCAACTGTGTATGTATATATATATATATATATATATATATATATATATATATATATATATATATATATATATATATATATAATATATATATATGTGTGTGTGTGTGTGTGTGTGTGTGTGTGTGTGTGTGTGTGTGTGTGTGTGTGTGTGTGTGTGTGTGTGTGTGTGTGTGTAATCATGTGTTACGACAATGACACCCTTGACAAAATTGACCCTAGATCTAGGGATGGACACTTACGAATGTCTGTAGTAAGTCAACAAAACAATTGACAGCCGACAGAGAGAATTATCTCCACAAACACTGCACTGATGATAAATCTGCAACTGCCACGCTGTGTCGTTCTCTAAATACTAAAACGTTTCAACAGACGAAGGGCCAGGATGCAGACAGGGAAGAGCCGACAAGTGGCCTACAACTACAACACTGAACAGAACTCCCTCCTTTCTACTTCAACTTTCTAGAAATGTAGACAGGCCCGTCGACAACGTACTGTACCGGTACTTCACTTTGTTTAAATACTCGAGTACTCAACTATTGAACGAGAAACGTTCTACTTTTCCCCTAGTAACTTCTTAATTTATACTACCCCCTTCCCCTTAAAAAAAAAGAAAAATTCCCTTTATTTTTTTCAACTCACACATAAAGTAACTACTCTCTCACACTTCAACGAACTAACAGGTTTTGGGGTGTTTTTTTACCCCCATTAAAACAAGAACAAATCCATATAGCCTGTAAGGAAAATATTCATTTCCACACGGCAGTATTCGAATACTCATGAGTTCGATTCCACAAGTATCCTGTCAACGATGTATTTGTTATGACGTAGGCGGCCATTCTTCACAGAAGGCGACTAGTTTCAGTTTCACAAAATACTAGAACTGTTTTTAGAATATTGATCATCTGGACCAAGCACAGGAAAGCGCTACGCAAACGTTTCAACACATTGAAATGGTACCACTTCAACACACAACACAAGCAAAACATGAAAACACAGCATACACGTCCACCACCCATTGAAACACTCATCGCGTTTGCACAAATTAGGTCAACTGCAAGCAGGAGGTGGGGGGGGGAGTGGGAAAATCCGGTTGCTGGAAATAGCATCTCCTCAGTCTTGCCAAAACGTAGTTTTTCGTCTTACTGACGATATCGGTATTTTTAAAACTCAAAATCATAAGTTTATCAGTAGATCTAGATCCGAGTTTGGTCTACAGTCCGTTTATCAGGCCACGCATATCGCTCAGCATATCACACACAACATCTGTTTTATCTATGTTGTACAATGGAGATTAAGGCGCAGGCAATAATGTCACGAGTATGACATCGATAACAAGCTAGGCATTAGGTCAGGCTTGGACGAAGACAGACGCTATTCAAACTCGTAGCTATCCAGTCATCAAACAATGCGTGGAGAATTAACGATTTATTTGACAAACCTTCGGAAGTGAGCACCACACCGTTTTTACGTAATCAGTAGACATTCACAGAGTCTACACACCACACTTTGACGTTATTAGTTATTTACTGGAAGAAAATGCATTTGTCGAGACTTGACACTGAATTAGGCCTCACTCACTCACTGTGTAGAGAAAACGAAACACGCAGACGATTACTGATAATTTTTTGCTGCTTTCCGTACCACTTGAGAAACTGAAAGTATTTATAACATGTACCTGGAACACTGACTATTCCTAGAAACTGGCCGACTTTTCAAACTTAGTTTTAGTACGATTTCTACGGCACTTGCAGCATAATTGATTATCATAATAGGGTTATATAATAAGTGTCGAAGTTGAGAATTTTATTTCTTGTTTTGTTTCAGCCAGTATACGATTTTTGTTCCATACATTGTATTTGTAACAATTAAGATTACGTAAAATGAGCTAGTAGTATTGATGGGGGGGGGGGGGGGTCTTTTTCACTATGACCCATAAGATAGGCCATTATATATTTCAGTTCTCAGAAATCTGGTTTGCTTTTTTTTTAAATATATTATAGTTTAACATTTCAATCTTATTTCTTTTTAATCAGGATACTGTTCTGCTCAAACTTGCCACTGGTACAGCATTGAAATTCCCTTTCAATTTCTATAACAACACTTGAAGAAAGTTCTACTCTTATTACAGAAGTCTTTTCTAAAATAAAAGTTTTAGTTTCCTTTTTGAAAAATAATTTGGTCTTGTAAAGTTATGACAATATGATTGTTAGATAATATTTTTTTGCGAGCAACATTTTAAAATGGCCGGCTCTATTTCTCCGAACGTTCGGGAAAATAAACTTGAACTTTATTTCTCCAAACTGTTTCCGTTCTCGAGATTTGTTGATAAAAAGCAAATGGAGTGGCCCGTGTGTGTGTGTGTGTGTGTGTGTGTGTGTGTGTGTCAGTGTGTGTGTACGGTGTGAACGGGGGGGGGGTTTAACATTTCAATCTTATTTCTTTTTTTTTTCTACATGAAGGATTTAAGTTTTTGCTGGGTAACTAAATGCAAAATAGGTCACTGCCAAGGTCGCAGTACCTTTTGAAGGTATTTTCAAATGAAGTATAGTCCGGGAACGTTGCTCCAACCACAACTAAAGTATCTGAATATGAAGACATTTTAAAATCTCTAGCTCTAGAAATTGAATTCGATGCAAAAAATGCTTCCCTCCAGTCCTCGCAGAATGAAAGGATGACGCCTAAATCTCGCAAACATCCCCAAAAAATCTCGAGATCAGAAACCGTTCGGAGAAATAAAGTTCAACTATATTTTCCCGAGCAATCGGAGAAATAGTCACTTCGTTTTAAAATTTGAGTGAAAGAACAAAACAAAAAAAGGATACTTTCCCAATCTGTTTTTCTATTCTTCTGTTGCTTTTTATGTGTTGACTGGTATTGTTCTGTTCTGTAATGTTTAAGTTTAAGATTAAGACCACAGTGCACAGGTCTAAATCATTTTCAGTTTCCAAAGAAACGAAACAAGCTCTTGCTTTAGCTCTATAGGTATCAAAACTAGACTTGTCAAAAATGCACACACTGCATTTCAAGATCACAGGTTGAAATCCTAATTTGATGACAAAGTTACAAAAAAGTTTTCAGGCCAAACATCATATATACAGTTGAGTCTGCTGAAACAATAATTTGAGGGACTTGCATAATTATTTTCTTTGGTTTGGCCTAGTTTATGAAATCTGAAAAGTTCTGTCGGTGAAAACAGCATGCTGATAACATGAAACTTTTTAAAATATTGGAATATTCCTGCTGTCGGCTGAAAAGGGAATGGGGGTTAAACATAGTCGAACCTGCCTTAACCGAAACCTGTGTATGATGGAAACCTGTCATAAACGGAAGCTTCCCACTCCCCCCTTGATGAATTCCTCATCAAATTACCTCTACAAAACAGAAACCTGCCTATCGCAGAAACAAAAAGAGAAACTCCTTCCCTTTGGGAAGTATTTACGAGTCTAAGAGTAAGACAGACAATTCTTTTCTCACACAGCAGCCCTGATTTGTAAAAAAAAAAAACTATATAAGGTTTGGTTCCACCCGCTCTAACCTTTATTACGACATGCCGCCAGGCGAGGAAGGGGAGTAGGGGTAAGACTTGGGGGTAGATATTACCCCAACCATAACATGAGCCCTGAGCAGTCACGGTGGTGTGGGTGTGAACTCTCCCCAATGCCTATGAAAGTGCTCAAGCGTCACTCCAGCACAAAAACTTTCCTAAGCAACCAGAGGCCAGGGGTGTGAGATTAGTCTAATGCCTGCCACCCTGGTTGTATGGCCAGCCGAGAAAGAGATTCCTCGAATTGTTGTTACATGCACGGCAGGAGTGGCACTGGTTGTCCGAGCATACAATAAATAACACCGATGGAGATGTTGAATCATTTCTGATTTTAATAGATCAACTATGATCTTAAGAAATGCAAGCACTGGCGGCAATGGATAAGTAGGACTGACACATGCCATCATCACAGAGGCTAGGATTGCACTTGAAAGGTACGAAGTTTCGACCATCACTTGCTGACCGGACAAGCAACCCTTAATCCTATCCGCTGAGCCTCAAAAACCCTCCTCCGTCTCCCCCTAAATTCCCCTGTCTAAGATGGAATTTTTTTAGGGCTCCCTTGCGATTCCGTCTTAAACAGGTTTGACTGTACTTCCATTTCACACCAACAGGCAGTAGAAGTTTGAATCTTATCTGGGGGAAATACTTTATTTTAGTGTATCTGTCTTTTTGCTGGGATGCCTTGTCTGACCCTGGCCCTGTTGACCCTAGCTAGTGGGCAATGTCTAAACAGACCTGCCTTTCATAAATGATCTTGAGTCAAGTGACACACTTTCAAAGTGGACAATTTGTCTCTAGCCCAGCATTGAACTCATAAGGAAAAGTGCAAGAGATACCAGTCAAATGGTTTTGCTATTCTGTGAGCAGAAACTTTGTCAATTAGAAATTCAGAATCATTTACCTGCTTTCTATGGTGGGTGGTTAGAGATGGTACACACTATCCTGCTATCATAAATAAATCTTGATACTTCTTAATATTTTTTTTCTTTCTCTTTTTTCATTCTTTTCCATCTCTTCTTCCTACTCCTTCTTTTATTGGGTTAAAAGGAAATGCATTAAAGACTACTGACTGAAGTTGTCTTTAGGCCATTCTTGAAGGGGGGATTGGGATACTAACATGTTCTGAAGCACAGTGGAATTTTAAAAGGGCTGATTTATCAATTCAATGTCATGCTCATACTGTGCTGGAACAAAATAGGGCCGGGAACTGCTGTTTTTTCTTTCCTCACCCTTACTATCATCATTTTCCCTCTATTTCTTTTGTATGTTTGTCACTCTCTTGTGAACTGCTATTTCTGGGGTGCCTTGATAATCGAAGCAGACTGTGCTGTTGAGGCAAGAGAAGTGAGCAGAGTAAGCCTGATTATCCATCTGGACTTCTCTGTTGACATTCACCCCCTTGGCGCTCATATGACCTTATGCAGTTGCGAGCGCGGTATAACCTTACTAAAACTAAAAAACTAAACTTTCCATTTTGCTGGACACATTTCTGTATTGATCTTTTCAAGGCACACTCATCAATGTTATTTTTCTTCTTTTTTTTTTTTCAACACCAACATTTACATTTTCGATTTCGTTAAATGTAATTTTCTGGCATGAAAAGTCTTTTATAGTTTCATTTCTGTTGGACACGCTTTCAGGTTTGTTTTGCAAGACACTTTCAGGTTCACTTTGTTATACACACTTTTGGTTTTGTTCTTGCTTAGCAAATTTTCTTTTTTGGGGGTGGGGGCAGGTGTGCAAGTCCACCTTAATAAACTGCATGCCCTGCTTCCAAGTTTAATGTCGCTTTTGCAAATGATTCATTATCGTTGCAACAATGGAGCTGGCTGATTCAATCCAACATGTCATGTCATCAACCCTGATCATGTTGGACACATATCCAAGAAGGAAGGCAAGGATACCCAAAATAATATCTTACCCGTGTAAGAATTGAAACTCCAATAGTTTCCTTGTTTGTTTTGGTAAGTGTTTCAGCGCTTGCAATTTAGACCTGCATGTGAGCCTCAACCAGATTGTCTGAAAATTTTGCGCAACCCCCCCCCTCCCCCCAAAGCCTTTGTGGGTGTCATAAGGAAGGACATCCGAGTAACGAGCGACCACCCCAACAAACACTTGATAAAGAAGAGACCTAACCCTAACCCTACCCCCAAAAAGAACCTGCAACGGGCCTCATGTAAAAAGGCCAAAACAAGTCCTAAATGAAAAAAAAAATTAAATTAAAAAAAACACACTCCAAAACAAACAAGGAGCATATAGATCTAGATCTAGATCTAGATCTATATGGCTCACATCTACATTGCTATAGGGTTTGATACAATAACACAATAGAATTGGAAATGAATCCTTCATATATAGATCTAGTAATCTAAATAAATCTAGATCTAGATCTTGTAGAACAAGTGAATAGGAATAGGCCTTGAACTAGAAATCCGCATCCGATTCCGAACAGAGGGACTCAGCT